CCAGTCGATTTTGAAATTAGCTTTAGTAAAAATTATTACTAGCTTTAGAATTTATATAAAACCATTATGGAATTAAAATATTTTGTTATTATTAAGTATTCTAATAATATCTAAATCTTTGGATAAATTAAATAATATCTTATAGAATATATAATTAAAGATAAAGAATATAAAGTTTTTTATAGCTTATAGCTTTATTCAATTCTATAAAAAAGATGTATATATTATAAAAGTATTATAAAACAAATTGGATAGGGCTTATAAATTATATTAAATAATTATAGAAGATTCTATTCAATTATATTATAACATTATAGATAACAATATTAATAAGTTTATGGAAAAAATTGATCGATTTATGCTTATTGTAATAAAGATTCAGAATAAATTATCTTTATAACTTTATAATTTATTTTCTGATTTTTTATCTTTTCTAGCAAATAAGCTTTTGTTATGGTAATCCTGAAATTACAAAATCAAGATTATATTAGGAAAAGAGCTATCTTATAATAAAGGCCATTTAATATCTTCAGTTAAATTTTAAGTTATTTATAGATAGTTTAATAATAATCTAAATAAAGAATTCATTTATAAATTCTGCTCCTAATCAATTACCCCACTCCTTTTAATTATAAAATTAAAAGAGGGTATTCAAATCTATTAAAATTATTATAAACTAAATAATATTATTATTAAAAATCATTATTCACTATTATTAATTAAAAAAACCCTTGATATTTTATATTATATTAAAGTTTATATTAAATTAAATATTATCATTATATTTAATAAACTATGAATTATAAAAGACTATAAATAGAAAATTGCTTTCATAATTCACTTTAATTTATTTGAATCCTTAATAATATTCTTTAATTTTTATAATATTTTTATTTTATTCTAGAATTATATTAATTATATTCTTTTCAATTTTTTAAATAAAAATTATATAGTATATTTAAATAATATTTTAATTTATTTTAAAAATATTATAAATTATTAAAAATAAGTTTATAAAATTATTCAAAAACTTATTAATATTAGATTATAAATCGATATTAATAAATATAAATTTGAAATAAAGAAAATAAAGTATTTTGATTTAATTATTATTTCCAATAATATAAAGATAAATTCTAATAAAATTAAAATTATTTTTGAATAAAAATTATTAATTAAATTAAAAAATCTTTAATATTTCCTAGAGTTTACTAATTTTTATTAATATTTTATTTGAAATTTTTCAAAAATTATAAAATCTCTAAATTATTTATTAAAAAAAGAGAATATATGAAATTAAATTATTAATTAAGAAAATACTTTTAAAATGTTGAAATATATCTTTGTTTTTATTTTAGTTTTTGTAATATTCGATTATTATTATTATATAATTATCAAAATAAATATTTCGAATTAGATTGTAGATAGTATATTCTTATAATATAATAATAAAGACTATTTATATCTAATAGTCTATTTCTCTTCGAAATATAATATTATTGAATATAATTATAAGATTTATGATAAGGAATTACTAATTATTATTAAATTATTAGAAAAATAAAAATCTAAATTATATAATATTCAAAAGTTATTTGAAATTATTATTAATTATAAAAACCTAGAATATTTTATATTAATGAAAATATTGAATCAAAAACAAGTGAAATAGACTAAATTTCTATTCAGTTTTAATTTTTATATTATATATTAATTCAATTATAAAATAATTCACCCCAATATATTAAATCGAAAAGTAGAAGATTATTTGATTTATACTGATTCTAATAATAATCGAATTAAGAATTATTTATAAATAATCTTTTCGAAAAGAGTATTTGATATTATTATATTTGTAGATTTTATTTAATAAATAAACAATAATATCGATCTAATTATAATTCCTATAAATATAATTATTCCTGATATTGAAAAGTTAATTAACGATTTTATTAATAAAGTATATAAATTATTTGATTTAATTATTATTATATACAAAATACTTTAAAATCCAATTATTTGTTATTAATTATTATTAATCCGAAAAAACCTTTGAATTATTCTTTAAGATTATAGATTAATTAATAATAAAATCTTTTACCATAATCGCCTTTTTATTCCTTTCTCTGTTAAGCTTTATATACAAATAATTTATCGGATATATTTAACCAGATCTACAGAATATCCCAATTGAATTAAAACAATCAATTTTATCTCCCATATATACTAATAATCTAATATATTAAAGGAAATTGAAACTTTTGTATAAACCTATTAACTCTATTTCCAAATCAAAATCTCTTATTTTATAACATTTGAATTCCTTGAATCTCTATTAATACTATTTTATCTTTAATTTAATATCTTTATTAATTATATTATATTATTATTGATTAATAAATATTATAGAAAAAAGTATTAATATATTATTATAATTATTTATTACCTAATAAAAATATATTATTTTATATTAATTATAAAATTATTTATAGAGAAGCTTATTGATTGATTTATTAAAAAGATTTATTATTTATACAGAATATTTAATAATATTATATTTAATAGAAACTTATAATTCGTTTTAGAGTTTTAGAAATATCTATCTGAATACTTATTAATTATTTTGAAACAATTTTCTTTGTTCTATTCTGAATTTAATAACTAAATAAAAAGAATTAATATTATAATAAAATAATATCTTTAAGTTTTTATAAACTTTTATTAGAATAATTAATATAATTGATTTTTGCTTATAGAATTTATATTTAATAATACTATCTCAGAGATTATTAATATATTCTTATTCTTTATTAATTATAGATTTTATTTATATTTTAATATTAAATCTTTTTTACCTATATCTCCGAATTTATTATATCAAAGAAAACATAAGTTTCTAAAAACTAATAAAATTATGAATCAATTCAATCTGATTTTAATAAAATTGAAAGTTCTTGTTATTCAATTTATTTAAAGATATAAAGATTATATTAATAGAGCTTATATTAATGCTTTTTATATAAAGAGAGTAATAAAGTATAAATTAGTATTTAAAATATAAAAACTAATTAATCTATAAAAAAAGGTAATGACAAATAAAATGGTTTTTATAAGATTTTAAAAGTTTATAAATAAATCTATCTTCTTTAATTTCCATTTAATTTCAAGATTTTTTCAATATTCTATAATTCCTTATTATAATTACTCCATTGTTTATCAAGATTAATTGGTCAAGATACAATTAATAAAGCCAAATCCCAATAAAACTAGGATTAAGTTTTTAAATATGATGATAAAACAAATAAAGAAATTGAATAATAAGAATTTAATAAACTCCTTAATTATTATAATAAAAACAGATTCCATTATCTAATTAAATAGAAACATCACCCAGCCTCTTAATAATCCATTAAAAACCTTTGTAGCCAGGAAAATATAATTATTGCTTTCTATTTAACAAATCCAATCAAATCTAATCTATTTGCTTGAATAGGATTCAAAAGATTAATTACTAATCTTTTATTGGTTATATTGAATATAAACATTATTCCCCTAAAACAAAACTAAGATAGATCAAAAAAGCTTTAATATTTGATTATTATAATCTTTAAAAAAATCTATTTTAATTTAATAATAAAAATAAGGGTATTTTAATATTATTTTATCTTTTAATTTAGATAGTTATTATAATTGAAAATCAATTACTTTAAGTAGGGGGTATTGTTATAATATTAATTATTTATTTATTAATTGTCTTTATACCTAAAGTTTTTATAATTAGTGTATCTTATTTTTTATAAATAGGGTTCCTTTCTTTCATAATTCTTCTATTCTTATGATACAATATAAGTCTTTACCCGTATCTTGACAATTATCTTATTTTGGGTTTTTTGAAGCTATATAGACTATCCCGTGAGTCCGTGCACCCACTGGTGATTCTTTAACGTAGTTTAACACCGAGTGGGCTATATCACCGAATGGGCCACTTCAAAATACATCAAAATTAATACTTTTTTAATATTTGTATTTTAATAATCAATTATTATTTTTTAAAAGAAAATTAATATAAAATAATAATAAAAATTTAGCTTTTTATAAATCTATTTTTAATATAAAAATTTCTTATATTTTCTAAAAAAAAGTAGAAATTGTTACGATTTTTATTACAAAAGAAATATTTCTATAATAATTATTATAATAATTTGAATTTTCAATAAATAATTAGATTTTCATATTATTTATATAATCAAATTTTCTAATTTCAATTTTTAGAGAATTCTGTTTATAAATAAAGAAAGTGCATGGTTATACATAGACGAATTTTGTATGTAAAAATGGTGGCCTACTTGGTGATATGGCTCACTCGGTGTTAAACTACGTTATAGTTTACATTCTTGAGAGAAAATATCAAAGCAAAGAAAAAAAGAACAGGGAATATAGTCTTAGTCAACATTGGTGACTGCTCTAGATCATATGAAACTGTATTACAAGAAATCAAGTTTCTAGAGAATAATGAGGCTCATCTCTGCTTACATCAGACTTATTCACGGGTAAATGTTTTATCGCCATGCATGGTTCGACGAGTGGTAAGAACTTGGATTGTGTAACACTAATGCATAACCTTCCCAAAATGAGAAGGTCGACATCGGGCGCATCGCAGGGCATATTATTTGGCAGATTTGGGGTTGATGGGTGGATAAGTGTTCAACTAGAAGAAGATTTCGTGATTCGTAACTTCATGACTCGTGATTCATGTTAATTTTCCGTGGAAATGAAATTTTATACCAAGAAGAAATATATGTAAGTAAAAAGTTGGATGTAGCAAACAGTAGGAATAGAAATTATTGATCGATGCGGATAATGCTGAGGCGATTTCTTCATTCCCTGCTGGACATCAAAGTGTAGTCATGCATGGAGAGTGAGGCTAGAGCTCATCAGTAATATCCCAAACGCACACTTAACGATATTTAGTGCTTACATTCGTGCCATGCTGTCTTTGATCAACTCGTTGAATTTGACCCGTTCGTCATTATTACTCCAGGGCTGTTTTGGGACGCGCCAATATAGACATTTTGATTTTGCACAAATACTACCATGACGGCGGAAAAACTGCGGGGTGATGTTAGTCTTCAATCCTGGAAGTTTCAAGGTACCTGTGAACTTACGCGGCGGTAGCGGTGAATATCTCAACCCTCGATGTACCGGCATCAGTCAAAAACATAAGACCCATCGCAAAGATAGCTGTAAACGCTGCGATAACTCCAAGTAGTTCTCCGGTAGATTCAAGGCTTGAAAGTACCGCGATGGCAACGGTAGGTAACAGGCACGCAATGACCGTGGCTACAGCTGAGGTGACACGTAACATGCGTGCTTCAGAGTAAACAGTAAGCCCTGTCCTATCCTTTGGCTTTTGGCCTTCTTCTGCTGTGCTAAAGATGGGTTTTCTGTGATAAGACCAAAATCGGGAGCTTCTTGAATTTTCTCTTGTTTCCAAGAATGGATGGCTCTTATTTTCAGCAGTGGGCAGCCCATTCTCCTCAGAGGTAGTCTTCACCATTTTTCGCCGTAATGCTTGTTTCATGCTGTGCCAAAATGGGACAAATTCATTGGCGACCCACGTAGTTAGACCGTCAACCGTATGACCTTGTCGAGGTACAATGAGATCGAGATTGTCAGGCTTAGGAGTTGTTGGCCAAAAGATACTACGCATGAGACTGACGAACTGCCATCTCAATGGTTTTGGTTCGCCTATATTTTCTGTATAGTCACCCCATATACATGCTGCATCCCCCGTGATGCAATGTTTACCCACTCTCTTGAGCCAGGCCCTTAGCGTTTCCACGTTGTATGGGTCTGCCCTCGGTAATGCTGTAATTTGGGAGTATTGTAATAACGCATCATCTGGTGGATTGAGTTTGTTAGCGATGAGAACCGCGAATTGAGGTACTGAAAGGCTTACTATATTCTTTCAAAACTACTCTGATCTGCTTCATAATCTTCACTTGCTTAGATTTGCACTTGCTATCGTCCATTCGAGCATGTATAAGATAGTAGTCCAAATTCTTCGCCATCATTGAAGCTTTCACTATGCCCTCTTGCTCACCCTGTCGATGCTCATTATATTCTGCCTCGTGTAGCTTCTTGCGCAGATTCTCTAATTCTGCTTGATAATAAAGCAGACTTTTGATGTTAAGGTCACGGAAAGCCTTGAACGCTTCGAGATCTGGATATTGCGCAATCAATTTAGACACAAGTGGCCATCCTGGCAGTGGCTTGTTCAGGTCTTTAGATGGATCTTCGATTTCATCCCACGGTCCTGTTGTGAATGGCAGCGGAGATGTCGGGGTTCCAATTACAGTCTCATCAGTCTGTGAAGCTGAAGTTGGACTTGCAGGTTCACTCGACTTTGGGGCTTGAATGGTGATTCTATGAGGTTTCTCGGCCATTGCGATGAGTTCTTGTCTGTATGAACAAAGAATTACTTGATGATATACTGATTGAATAATTGATTAAGGGAGCGTATTTACAATAATAGACAGCGAAAAAACCGGATGAAAGAGCAACAGCTGTTTTATCTTGCATTTACTGTGGTTTACCCCATCTCCGTTTCTACAAATGAGAATAATTCGAATTAATAGCTGAGTGCAGCAATGCATGCTGAGTGGTGAGCTATCAAAAGTGGTTGTCTGGAATTGCATATGATTCGTGGCGGATAAAGACACGGTTGACAGCTACTGCTGTGAGAAAAACTAGGTAGCCCATGAGGAAAGAACACACTTTTGACTCAGCAAGCTTTGGTATCATGAACTCTCGCCTCAAGTGTTGACATACTTATATCGGGCGCAGGCGAAAAGTTGACCAGCGCACAATCACAACAATCTAAGCAATCTGCTTGAGAAGAGCCAGTCGAAACTTTGCGAGGGAGTATTCATGTCGTGTTTCGAGCGAACATGATTAAGGCTAAAGAGAGAGTGAGAATCAGCTTTATGCACTGCAAGGCTGAAATTGCAGGGCCATTAAATTTGGAGAATCTCGACATTAAAGTCACACCCATTACATGTACTGGAAGCAAAAGAGTGGAAAGATGTGGTGGTTTTAGATTCTCAATCACCATGCGATAACTTAAAATATTCGATACGCATTCTGCAAGAGCTTTTGGCGATAATAATCCCCAGAAGCCGAGTTTAACATTTTTAATTTCTAATCGGTGAAGATACTTATCTTGGATGAAAGCGACATGTTTTGGCGTCCAATAGATGGAGCCGGATAAATTATATTGCATCGAGCATTTGTAACACAGCCTGACTGACAAATTGGAAACTTTGAGGCTCTTTCTGGAGGCAGCAATAAGATCTGGCTACAGATTTGAAATTCGAAACATGGAGTATTTGAAAACTCATCTGCCACTTGTGTCACGAATTCTTAAATTCTTTCTGAACTTCCGTGAATCAATTGTATTGCGACTTGAATTTTCGCAAGAAAATTTAACGAGCTCAAAAGTCTTTCAATACAGTTCCAAATTTCGGACTGTGTGATATCATCGCTTCTTGGCCCTCTGGTTATATTCTTATAATAATCAGTCGAATGTGGCAATGAATCCTTTCGGTAATTCCAGCCAGAGGCACAGGATGATTTGGATCTTTTCAATTATTCCAGCATCCATCAATTTTTTACTATCTGTCGAACCTTGTCTTCAGCGAGAATTCACCGCTCGTTCGTTAATAATCCCCAATAATGCTACTAGTCCACATGGATTATTGGTCGGTGGGCGGTGATTCGGGGGCCGGCGCCTGTCACCATCCATAGAGGTCTGACTTTATGTTTCAATCTGCCCTGTAAATAGCTCGGGCAAAGAAAATTGGTGGCTATCTCTCGAAAGGCAGTCGGAAGGCAATCTAAGAAGGATTCTCAATCGCACAAACCTCTCTTGTGACCGGATTCAATGCGGCTCCTCAGGATTAGAGTTGTGATATGAAAGCTATAAAAGAATAAATAGATCATCCATTCAAATTTAAAGCAATCAGAAGAAAATACACTCTTCCTTTTAACGACAATTACCAACTACGAACACCAAGCAAGCGCCCGTGAGGCAGTGATCAGGAACATGGCAGGCGGTACGCATCATGCGAAGCGATATGCAAAGTCTTTCTGGCGCTGACTTTCACAGAACATCCTAAGAACGTCTCTCCCAATGGTTTCCTCTCCCTTCCCATCGAATCTAAAGCTTCAAATTCAAAGCGTGGCCGATCTGTTTCGGACGCTGGCTCTGAACAATCTGCGAGATCCAGCCTGTCCAGAATTACATATGTTGAGGAAGATGCTCAGATCGCTGCATATTCAGAATTCGAGGATTCCGACAGCATCATCCAGGCAAATTACACCTGCTTAGATCGTCTGGTCGTGTTTATTCGCATCTTGTTCTGCCTCCCAATTCCAATGATGACGAACAAGAAATCTCCAAAGCCTGCCGAGGCCGTGCCACTCAATGTAATTAAGGTCTATTCTTCCTCATTGGAGGCTTGCTAACGGATTCTGGTAGATGGAGAGCTCTCCATGGGTGCTTTCCGTTTCCGTTCTATCAACGCGCAAAGATTCGGATAAAAAGCCAGTACCCAAACACGCGAAGTGTACCATCGATACCGGTAATATGCAAGGAAACATAGTGTCGAGGGAGTTTGTTCAGAAAGTTCTAGAGTATTCGGAAGCAAACTTTGTTCCTTTGACAGCAGATGAAAGAGAGGGCGGCTTTGGTATAACAGGCGACAAACTTGTGAGCATCGAATGTCTCTTCTTGTTCTAGTATCGTAAAGGAAAAGTGTCTGGATGGAAATGGACTAACTTGCTTTGCCTCAGGTGCCGGAAGGAGCCATCTATCTGACCTGGTATCACAGCAAGAGTACTAGGGTTTTTCATAGCATGAGGTTTCTAATCTCGCCCCATTCCCAATGCGACCTTATCATTGGAGCTCGATCCATACAAAAGGATAATTTGCTTGGCGTTCCAAACCTGATGGCAACAGTGCCTATCACTAGGGTTGCAAACGAAGGGGATTTTAGAATGGGTAAGCAGTCCTGTATCGATCATAGCACAAAGCTAATCAAGACAATTACAGACAGGAACGAGCAGGACCTAGAAAAAGATTTTCTCAAACAGGATAAGAGATACCAAGATAAGGAAGTCGAACTCATCGAGGCGGGAGAAGATATAGAAAACAACAAGGAATTGAAGAATATTGGAGAGGCCCGTGATGTCGCCAAGCAATTTCAACTAATCCGACAGGCACAACTGAAGAACAACCAAAAGCTAGCAGTTCAACTGCAAGAAAAACTGGAGAAGCTACCAGGCTATAAAAGTTCTGTGGTCCTCTCCAAGTCGCAAATTACTTCCTCTGGTATAGAAAATAAGAACGATGCAGTCCAACTCGTCAAGAAAACGAATCGGGAATCTCCAACTAAGAAATAAGTGTTTGCGTTATGCTGGGGTACCTTCTAGGATTTCGTAATGAACTGGAGAATTCATGGGCAGTCATGAGTTCTGTACGTTGACAAAAGACACTGGAGGCTTTCGAAAGGAATTATTGCGCTTTTTTTCGTTGACATTTTAGAAACTCAAAGATATGGGATGGTAGCGTTGTTATTTGACGGGTTGTCCAACAAGAGAAAATGAAGAACGGCTGGTACATTTCGGCTCGAGTAGATTTTCAATGAGCAATCAGGACAGAAATATTATTGGCTGGAGGATTGCGTTGTTTTATGAATGTATGAATTCAAATGGTTGTAGTGTCTCTTTTTAGAAGTTAATGAATCCATGACCGCACACAAGATTTCGAGCATGACATGATCCAACTGTGAGTGAATAAAGTCTGGATTGTCTTACTTAGTCAGACATTGAATCTTTCCTATTTCTGTACTCCAACCATTTTGTCACTTGGAGACGGAACTATCACGTACCATAATTGATCGATGGAGAGTACTGAGGGGGCATAGCCGAGCCATGAACATGATCTGAAAGAACGTCTACAACACACGAGGATGGCAAGGGCTTGCGTCTCAGAGGTTCCTGCTCATGTTCAATATTTTGACCAAAATGTTGGGCGTGATCAATACGACATATAATTCAAAGAGTGTGGAGGAGAATTGAGTGCTATTTCAATCATGACACAAATGCAAGCTATCGCGTTCGGAGACAACACCACGTCCGTCAACTTCCCAGCACTTGTCAGGATGGCCTGCATGACTTTTGTAAACAATTCTTATATCAAGATTCCATGGGAGTCGATAAACAACGCGTTTTTCATGGCAGCAGATCTATTCGGTCAGCGTAGTGGTAGATTTCACAGCGAGTACAGACTGATTTTGTAATGCCGCGTAACCCCACTAATTCAACGCCTAAGCACCTAAATGCCAACGACTACAGAGTAATAAGATGCTACAAAACACGAAAACTCAACTATAGTTATTTGAATCAAGTGATTTGAAATAAGAATATAGGCTATCTTTACTCAGCAACATACTTCCCACACGATTTCTCATGATTCAAGCATTGAAAAGTAGAATTATATTATTGGAAGCTTCTGCCAGAATGCTATGCTTTGGAAGACCCCGCTTTTGTTCTTATCGAGCCTTATCGACGTCAGACAGACGCGTCTTAACACATCATCGAGAGAAATACCGCGCCGGCTCCTTGTGATAGACATCTTTTAACAGCATCAAGGTGATATCAAAAGAAAGCATGCAACAGTGTCTGTGTTACCCACAACTTTGGCTAGCCAGCTTTGGAATCACCATGTAATAGGGCGATCGCGCATCGGTGAGAACCAGATGTTACTCTTGAGGGATAGGCAAGCTAAATCAACCCTTATAGTGGTGTCGCTTGATCTGACAACTCTATTCCTTTACGGCTATTGAGATTCTACTTTTCTGCTCCAATGCACAGTTACCTGTGGCACGAAGTTGTTGCAATCGAATTAGCATTATCTTCCCTGCATACAAGGTATGCCAGGTGTGTAATCTTCCTGTTTTTCAAAAATGTAACTTTTCACTCGACGCACTATAGCTTATCGAATGGATTTATGGTTTATATTGCCTTGATTCACGCCTCCTCTTAATCTAGCAAGAGCCCACGTTTATTATATTTTGTGAAGGAAGGTTGAGTAGAGAGCCGATTAGCCTCCAGATAGCAAGGAATGTTTGAGGAAGCAGTTTTCAGTTCAGATCAACCCAAAACCATCGCAAGCTCTGATCTAAGCCAAAACGATTTCCTCAAAAGCAAATCCCTCTCTCCCAACAGCCTCTCCATCCATTATCCCAAAAACATAGCATTCATCCACTAGCCTGAACCTACCCTCACCATCAGCCTGTCTTAGCAGATACGGGACATCACAACCATCCATCACATATACTATATCCCGCTCTTCCGCATAACGAGGGAATAACCCAAAATACCCCTTTCTCGTGATCCCCCACCTACGATTTTTGAGCACAAATTTCATAGCCTCGCGCACCTCTCGAAACGTTTGTCCCGGTACCCTTCGTGCGAGATTAGCTAGTTCGAGCCTGCCCTTTCCGGGGGGGTCTTTTCTGTCGCAGAGAACAGGTTTGGCCTGCCAGCGATGGAGACTGGCTCGTGGAGGCATCGAGGAGAAGACTTATTATTTCAGCGAAGGAATCTGGGCATGGGAGTTTTCCAGAGTCGATTTTACTGCCTACGAGGGTTTGCCAAAAAGCGTGAAAGACTGTATGAGAAGTCGGATAATGTTTTAGTTTCGAGACGAAACTCCAGAGTTCCAAGAGACTTTTGTTGCCGTTGTGTGGGTTGAGATAAGTGAGGTCGGGATGTGTAATCGTTGCGCTCGTTCTTGTCAGAGAGTCAAATGAAACACCTCGTGTTTGAAGCTCATTTCTAGATTCATTGTTGATTTTGACATATACTTTATTCAATTTGAACTTGAAGGATCCGCAGGCATTGTAAGTCCCAAGTTCATTCGTTTGTCGACGCTTTCTCCAGTCAGGCACCCAGGAGGGTAGATCGAGATACTCATGGTCTATGGATTTGAAAACAAGGCTTGGAGTTAAAACTTGTATGTCTTTGGTCAAAGAGTTGATTGCTACGTCGTGGTAAAGTTGGTTTACTGTAAAATCCGTGTAACTGACGTGAAACTCGTCTGCATCACTGCATAGCCCAAGAAGCCCATAAATCTTATCTCGTGGGTCATAACATTGACCACCTCGAGTGCTTACAAGATTATCAAAGATATGTGTCCCATAGCCAGCGCTTCGATAATGTTCGCGTTGACTAGCCAGCCCTAATATGGTTTGGCAGATATCACTTACTTCACTTGAATCCTCAACGTTCGCAAATTTAAGCTGTAGCCATTGAAATATTCCACAAATGAACAGGTGGTTCACAGCTGTTGAGAATTCGTTCCACAAAAGTAGCTCGTCACCACACATAATCCATGGGTTGTCAGAGAGCATGACCTCTTGAATAATCCAGAGCCGCGTAAACCATGGGTGCGAGAGGTATTTCCAGAGAGCATGCCAGATCTTCGGGTCGGATCTTGGTAGTTGCATTCTCTCGAGATTTTCGGGGGCAGTTTTTAATTGAATAAACAGCAATTTGACATTGATATCTTTGAGGAGCTGTATTGGAGAGTCGGAAGTTGGCTCGCTTCGCCCTAGCCAGATCACCGTGTTAAATGCATGCTTATAAATTCTTGCCATCAACGGAATCTGCATTTCTTTTTCTTTATTATCTTCTTGATTTATAGAAATCTGATCAATCCACATGACGATTGGATGATCTTCCTTCCGCATGTTCCGCAGTGCTATCTCGAGGGAAGTTGTGATCGCTTTCTCGTGCCCATCACATTCAATACTTCCATCCATACTAGATGAGCCCCAGGTATAGCTTAGTGCTGTGTACCAAATTGGGGCTATTAGGTTCTCCACAGAAAGCGCATGCCTTGTGAATGCCGTCCTGTGAACTTCAAACTGGTCCACAGCAGTCTCGTACTCAAACTCGACTGAGCAATGATGCAAAGAACCGCGCAGCTTTTCATTATCGCGCCCCGGCTTAATCTCAAGCACACGGATCTCGTATGGATTGTCGATAGTCTTATAGAGCCTGCTGTGATTATTTTTGGTTATTTTCATTATCTTACCAGATGCCCATGTGCGGATTTCCTCCATAGAAAGCCATTCTTCTGGCTTGAAATTGGTACTTGGCCCCTCAAGAGCAGTCTTTGAGAGATTTTTAATCTGTGCAAATTCAAATCGCTCGTCGTGCATGCTACTTTCAGAGCCGTGGTACGCGAGAGAGTAGACGTTGTGTTGTTTATTGGTGGTCGTCATCTTCTAGGCTCGAAGAGCAATTGTAGATTACCCTGGATTTTGATACAACACGCTTTGACATGGCGGTTATCTAGACTCAGGTAGCATGTGATAAGTGCCAATGAATTGCACTTTGTGGGGTTGATTAGAAACGTGGAATGATAATGGATATCGAAGACTTCTCCGAATTCGAGAATTTTTACTAATTGCAATTCGATGAGATCAAAGAACTATCACATCTATAGGTACTTGGGTATTTTGGTATTCGTGTGGTTGTGTGGTTGTCCGCCTATAGCACAGGCTCTGGGCTTGTTATAGAATATGGGGAAGTCAAGATACCTGGAGCACAATCACCCAAGAACTTTTGCATCTTTGCTAATATTCTTGGTCAATGTCAAAACAAACATCAAAGGAGCTGTTGTTGATTTTCATAAGCTGAACATAGAAAATCTTTCTGGCCGACAAAGCAAATACGTTGTTTGTTGGAGTCAACATCTACGTCTGCAATTTATCGTTCGGAAGCAAGCTATTTGTGAACAACAATACTTACTCACTCTTCTTACTTTGTATTTCTGGTGAGTCAATTGTTTATGCCGGGAATTGCTCATGTTTTTCGCTCCAAACAATTCTCACTCAGCAAGTTCGAGAATCATGTTGATTGTTTTCTGTGTCCATGAACCCATCGCATAAATTGCTTCCATGTTTCCAGTAGAGAGTCATAATATCTCTGCCATTCGCAAGATGCGCGAACTATGACCATTGATGAGATAGAGATATAAGTAAGCAACATTTTCACATTTACTCATTCTCATCCCAGATCACCTTCACTTTTCTTAGTTACATCCTCTCAGACTATCACGACAAAAATGGCAAGCTCTAAAAATGAAGGGTTTAGAAACGATAGCTTGTCTAGAGTGAGACTTTCAAGCATCCCAACGGTTACCCGCCTCTCTCAAGCAGAGCAAAAGATTCGAAATGATGCGATCCAGAGCCTGCACTTGCCAAAAGCTTCGATGGAGGGGCCGAAGGGAAATGAGCTGATACAAGCAAACTATTTCAATGTGCGACCAGTTCGGGAACTTCTCGACAAGAAAATCAAGATACGCAAATACGAATCGTTTTTGGAAAGCTAGAATCGCCATTACGAGATAGAGAAGACATCAGAGACCTGATTGAGGGGATATTCAAACAACACAAGCCTGAAAGTACCTCGTGGACATCCATCCGACTACCATTCTTGTATCATTTCTACTGAACCTCTCTATCGCGAATGCTCGGACGAAGCGGGCTCTGCCATATCTATTGGACACGAGCAGACTATCCAACTCAATGATCGAATGGAAACGATGAAAACGACGAGTACTCTGTACTTTGAAGGGTTTTTTGACATAGATTCTCTCGGGGAATATTTGCGAGCAACAAGAACTTTGACTCAACAGTTATCAGACACGAGTCTTTCCGGGCAGAACAGAGCTTACTTGCCCCTTGATGATCTTAGAATCCTGAACCTCATCTCATGGGAGACAATAAATAGTTCTTCCTTCAAAGGAGGCCGAGTAGGGAAAAAGTTTTATCCTCATTGCAAGCCTCAACGGATTCTTAATCATTCTAACATTAGGTTCAAGTCTCTTCAGCATCATGTGTATGATGTATATATGGGGTTCTTTACGTCCATGCGCCCTGGCCTCCAATCCATACTTCTCAATGTCAATACAACCACAACGGCTTTCTTCCCTTCCAAGATGAAGCTGCAAACTTTGTTGGATGCGCGATAGGGAAATTGGGGTAATTATGCCGGTGTTGCTCCACGAACTGGAAAAAATGAAATCAAGGGAGTGCAAGTTACCTTTGATTTAGATAAACACCCTAGAAAATATGTCATCTCGGGTGTGCATGATTTGTGCGTTGAGAAGGTTAATTCGGAAGCGTCGACACAGGGTGGTTCTCCAAAATCAGTCTGGATATACATGCAGAGTTGTAAATAGAAATTTTCACAAGAAGAAGCGATAGTTTGTTAACCAGTAATATAGGCTACCCTAGTTCCGCAACAAGTCTGCCTCTTGCGTCAATGCTGGAAACAGTTCTCATCCAAAATTGCTGCCAGCAGACCATCTACAGATTTGCAAGTGGCAAATAGTCCATGGAAAATTAGACAACCTATTCACTGAGCAGATGTTGGGATTCGCCAAGAAGACGCCATTCGAGAATGAACAAGAGATTATGAACAAAGCTCTCATACCATTGGGAATAAAACCACCAATCTCTCAATTTGAGTCGTGGAAATCTCCATTTGAGGTGAATTACCAGAATTTCTTTGGAAAAACTGTTGACTAACTCGTACAGAAATATGGCTTAATCCTGGGAGAAGAGCTCTTAAAGATATCCTCGAGTCACCTGTACCACCCGTCTTTGACATTCAACCCCGGAAGACCTAAGAAACTCGTCAGCGCTTCCTGGAATCTTAGCGATGTGAAACGTTTTAACGTAGTCGAAAGATACTCTGAGCTCAGGATTATTCATGTGAAAATAGCCGAACAGATTTCTGATAAGCAAACGAAGAGTGTTTTGATGTTTGCTAGTGCTCCCGCAACTCAACTGAGAAGATATGGCCTTCAGACACAATCTTTCAAAGGGAAAGTACATTCCATTGCCTGGCCAGAATTAAACGAAGAAAAGAAACCTTTTGCTTCTGCGGCCCAGAAACGCGAATTGGTCAATCGTCTCCTAGAAACTTGTTTGGGGGGAGACATTAGACCTCGTCTGGTGTTTATGATATTACCTCGTGAAGACGCCGCAATCTACTCTAACATCAAATGGTCGGGAGATTTTGTTTCAGGAATAGCAACGATTTGTGTTTGCCAAGCAGCGGTGGAAAAGAAAAGTTTTGGTATTCTAGACAACTTCAAGTATGTCTATCAGGACATTTGTGTGGTGCCTGTGCAGTATTTGACTAATTTGTAACCTAGTCTCAAAGCTAATCTCAAGCTTGGTGGTATAAACCATATGATTAGTGATGCTAGAGAGTCATCGAAACTCATCGAGTCCATCCAAAATGACACCCTTATGATTTTTGGTGCCGATGTTAGTCATCCTGGCAAGGGGTTGGATCCTGAATGCTCATCCATGGCCGGTGTGGTTGCTTCTTTTAATTTCAATTTCTGTCACTTTGCTGCATCTGCTCGCCTCCAGGCGAACAACGAGGAGGTACTGCATATATTTATGTTTCTTGGAAGATTTATTTAAGTTGTTTACTGACAGGTTTCTCATAGTTCATCTCAGATCTAGGTGGCATGCTCAAAGAGAGACTAGAGCTCTATCAGAAAAAGAACCAGGGAAAACTTCCCTTGAATATTCTATTTTACCGAGATGGCGTCAGTAAGAGTCAATTTGGCGTAGTCCTCACACAAGGATTTCCATAAATCGAAAAAGCTTGTAAGGAATTTACAGAGAATCAAGGGAAAACTGATATTCGTATCACGTTGCTAGTCGTCACGAAGCGCCACCATACCCGTTTCTTTCCGCTTAACTTGAACAAGAGTACTAAGAATGTAAGTGGGGGTCTGGTGGTGGACAAGCACATTATAAATCCGAATCAAATGAGCTTTTTTCTTCAAAACCATGATTCTCCTCTGGGGACAGCGAAGTCTGCGTACTACACTGTCATCGCTAATCAATGCGAATTGACTTTGGAGCAACTAGAACAAGTGGTAAGATCTGATATCCTGTTGAATATGCTCACATTGACACTCCTTCCAGACACATAAATTGAGTTTTGTGGGTTCACGCGCAATGAACGGATTATAGGTCTGTGTTCCTGCACGATATGCCGATATCCTTTGCGACCGGCTGCGATGTTATATGAAGCCTGCGTTGGATGGCGGAATTCGTCGTACCCAGGCTGAGATTCAAGACGGCAAAGATCCACTAGCTCACTATCGCAAGACACGGCAGGCGTGGATTCGCCCTGGATCTAAACAAACTAATCCCTGGCACTCTAATCTGGACAACATCATGTTCTACTTGTAATTTACAGGATGATGTATGTCTTCTTCCTGGATGCTTCCTGCGTCTTTCTGAAATGTTGTACTTTTGGATTTGATTTCTTATGCTAGTTGTGGATTTTTGGACTGTTTCAGTTCTTTGTTGAAAACATGGTGGAGACTTTTCGATTGCTAGCCCATGCTATGAGTTAGAGTGTTGTGTCGGCCGAACATTGCAATTTTTATTAGAATTAGAGTCATGTTTCTGAAGCTATTCTTCAGCCCATTTTGTATGCACTAGAAAATGTGCTTCAACAATATTTTTTGCCTCGCGATCAGAGAGAAATCGGTGAAACTGCAATGTGATATTTCATACGCGAGTTGCGATAATTCTCTCTCTATTTTGAGAGTATGTTTTCAAAGTTTCAAATGTTCATCATTTTTAGTAGAACTATTAGATGATTTTAAAGCTCTGGCTGAAAGCTGTGATATTGTTTATATTCGATATCTCAGAGCATCTAGAGACTAGGCTCGCAGTATTCAATAGTCCGGATTGCAACCCAACAATGAAGACCATCAGATCATGAGATCCTCATACGAATTAGAATATTCAAAGTTTTTGAAAGATTGAATTCGTTTGAAAGATGGAAACATTTTTGAGTTTCTGATTGCCTTTGGACATTCAAACCCTTACGTTGTTGGATTGCAGTCCGGACTATTGAATACCCTGAATCCCTGATTAGACATAGATTGACTGTACCCCTGGTTTGTCAATTTCCCGAATTAAAAGTAGTGTTGAGAAGACACGGCACATGCGCTAGCGCTTCACGTATATCATTTCCACTTCATAGTTAGATTCAAGCTTTAGACAATTCAATCTGGATAATTAATATTCCTTGCATTCTACTGGCTTGGACTCAAATTATGATAACCATACTCTTCAATCAGTTTGACATCTGGCCTGCACATGAGATCTCATCTCGATTGTCTCCAACTGCAAACTTGTAAAATAATCGTATCATGTTTGCATCCCGCTCTTTTAACGTCCTTATTTATTGCCTGTTATCAACTTCAAAGTTAGATATACTACAGTCATGTGTCCGACTTGAAGTTTTACCCATCAGATTCAAAGCAATCTTTTATCCGTCTCCTACCTTTCGTAAGGAGTTGGTAAGTGAAATGTCAAACTGCTTTGCTTGTGAATCAGTAGGCTGCCGATAGCAGCTCAGCAGATCCGGTGTCCCATCAAATTATTAAGAGGGATTGTAGTATAAGTAGTGAGGAAAAGTCTGAGTATCGATCGGAGCATCGATCAGACTAGATTCCTTTGCTTCATTGAAAGTAAGTTCACTTCTCAGAGGATCTCAGGCTTGCGGAAGATGTCTTCAGAAGGGCGCGAATGCTCAAAATGCCCCAACGCACCAGAGAACACTCAGCACAAAACACATTCCTGCGAGAAAAAGTGGCCCTTTTGGGAAGACCAAGTCTGTGATATTTGTTTCAGCCCCGCTCATTCATGCTCTCTCTGTCCCACGAAAACTGATGGTCAAATTATTTGTGACATTTGTGGACATTTGCATAGCAAGAGGGTTTGTCCCTTTAAAGCGGCCCCTGACCCTAAACAATATACGAGAGAAAAATATGAAGCATTCATGAGACAAAATCCCCCAAGGAATAATCCACAAACAGTCCCGTCCACTTCATCTGCAGGCCCTTCACAGAGTGCACCCTCGACGGCAACCTCTGTGCCACAAGTCCAAACTCATTCAACTCAAGCTCAACCTCTCCCACCAGGCTCGGTCGAACTCGTCGCAAATTTCGTTCCACCAGCCAAGACAGCAGAAGAAGTCGAAGAAGAGAATCGGGCAAGTGGATTTCAAAAATTGGTTCATCGTCAGGCGACAGCCGTTGAAGATAGAGGCGCCGATTTATTTGCTCCTGTTCAGGCCAACTACTTCAAAGTCACCTTCAACTCCGATCTTGATCTGCGAAGATACAGGATTCACCTTGATAAAATCAATCTCAAAGACGTTGTCAAGCGTGAACTTCGTCGTACTTTGATCAAAGAGCTACTTCTACAAAACCCACCTTCGGGAATTTGGGTTTCGGACTATTCGGAGTACATTGTCTCTGTCGGCAAACTTTATCCAGACTTAACTGATGTACCAGGAGCCACTGTTGAAGTTCTTCATCATCGTCCTGGTCAAGAACAAACCTGGGTTCCAATGCGAAGCTTTATCATTTACGAAGGCCCTTTCCAACGAAGTGCCTTAGACACACATTTGTCTTCGGGTAATTCGTCATTTGTACCAGATGCGGATCTTAGGATGCTGAACATCATCTCGTGGTTCAGAATTAACGGCTACAATCCACAGAATGGACCAATTTTCGATGGATTCCGGGTGGGAAATAGATTCTATCCTAGTGTTGGGGGTGTAATTCCTTTCTATACGGTTCCATTAAAGGGGACTCCGGTTTTTCTGATCAGAACTGGCTTCTATACATCGATGAGACCAGCTATCGGATCGGTGCTGTTGAATGTCAACACCGTAACCTCGGCCTTCTTCCCTCCAGAAGTATTAAGTACTTGGATCAGATTGCGTTGGGAACAAGAAATTCCGCCAGTCAATGAGCAAAATGACCTCATAGGCCTTCGAGTCACTTTTAGCGGCGATGGTGCGAATCCTAAAACGAGAGTCATTCGTGATGTCCATAATCTAAACGTTGATCAAGTCACCTTCACGCCTACGGATGCCAATGGGGCTCCGGGACAGATCACCTCTGTTTATAACCACATGAGAAATAGTAAGTTAACCCTTTTAGTGGTTCACTACACAGAATTGTTGCTAAATCATACAGAATATCACTTGCTGAGGTTCATTCCCTCTACCTGCTGCTTGAATATGGGAACAGTAACCGACCCGAAATGGTACCCGGCCGATAACCTGCGGATCGTTGCGGGACAAATATTCAAGAAGCAACTTTCGGAAAATTTGGGCAGCCAAATGATAAAGATTGCTCAGAACGAGCCTGAAAATAACAAGAGATTAATTCTGAGAGGGGCATTGCTGTCTCTAGGAATCCCAGCTACCACGGGTTCCTTCTCGGTAAGTAGAGAAATTTCAGTAGATGCCATAGTCACTAACAAACATAGCAATTTGGCCTCAGTATTAATCATGAATTTGAAGAGGTCGTTCCTAGATACCTTCGTCAGCCCACGCTGGTATTTAAAGGAGGTTCTCAGTTTAACATATCCACGCAGGAAAAGAACAAATCTTCCTGGATGCTCAAGAACAACAATCGCATCTTTCAATTTGCTGGAACTGGAAATTCGATTTCTAGTCTGAATATCATTCTGCTCAACACCGGCAACAATGTTAGTCAAGATCAAGTGAGGAAGTTTGCCCAAGATTTAAGCAGAAAAATTGGAGACTATGGTGTCACTTTTGCAGGTCGTGAAAATATCTCTAATGCCACATTCTCGCGAAATAGGGTGAGCTTTTGTACTAGACTTAATGCAGCCCTAGCAATTTTAAGTTCAAATAATGGCGGCAGAAACCCGAGATTGCTTCTCGTAGTAGTTCCCGACAAGGATATACGTACCTATGCGAATATAAAGTGGTGGGGTGACTGCGTCGCTGGTATCCCGACAATTTGCATCACCAGAGGGGTACTTACCAAAGGGAAGAAAGTCAATCATAGATTTCAATCAGACATTGGAGTTATTTCTAATATCAGGTCTGCCTCTACCAAGTTAGTTCACTACTAATATCGGCGCTAATTTTTTACCAGTCTCAAGATAAACTTCAAATTAGGAGGTATTAGTCATTTCCTTAACGACGGGGCAAGCCAAAGAATCTTTTGGGCTGGTGCGAAGGCAGATACGATGATCGTTGGAGCGGATGTTTCACATGCTGGTAAAGGTAGGGATGCGACGTGCCCTTCAATGGCAGGGGTTGTAGCTACTTGTGATCAGCTATGCTCTAAATACTTTGCATCCGCTCGCCTCCAAGAAAACAACACTGAGGTAATTGGCATCTTCCATGTACACTTTTGCTCTTGAGTCCTGACTGAGAGAATGCAGTCGATCGCAGACCTAGCCGACATGATTGGAGAACGTCTTGATAAATACGGAAGAGTGAATAATTCTCTACCAGAACATATACTCTTCTACCGCGACGGTGTGAGCGAAAGTCAGTATGGAATGGTTGTAAACGATGAGATCCCTCTCATTAAAGCTGGCTGCAGGGCGGCAGGTGCAAGAGGTGGAAAGGGCGATAACTGGTGTCCTAAAATTACTCTAATCGTAGTCGGAAAGCGTCATCACACCCGCTTCTTTCCCAAACTGGCGAAAAACGATGACTTCAACAACAACCTTCCATCCGGCTTGGTCATTGATTCAGGGGTAGTTACGCCTAACCATTTCAGTTTCTATCTTCAAAGCCATGATAGCGCCCTCGGAACAGCAAGAAGCGCGCATTACATTGTAATCATAAATGAGAGTGATTACACGCCGGAAAGTATTCAAGAAACGGTAAGTAACTCATTTCCTCACGTTAGTACGGCATTGTTGACCAAAAGTATAGACGAACACCATTTGTTTCACTGGTTCTAGGGCATTCAAAGCTTTGTCTGTTTGTACGCCGGCTAAATACGCGGATATCTTATGTGATCGCATGCGTTGTTATATGAAGCCGGCTCTAGACAATGATTTTGCTGCCACTTCTCCCAATGATCTGAATTTCTATCGAAGCAATGTCAATATTTGGAATACTCTTGGTCAGAACAGGACTAATCCGTGGCATCGTGATCTTAACGATCTGATGTTTTATCTCTGATTTCACGACAGATTAGATTTTCTCTTCATGTTTGACTCTTTTCAAACCTTTCTAGTTTTCTACGCATCGACGAAAAATTTTCGGGTAGGTGTACTAATCTTTTTGGGTCTGGATTTGAACTTGCGCTTGATTTGGTCTATTTCCTGACTTTTTGGGGGGTTTGTGAGTTTGAAAGACTCCGGGGATAGTAATTTGGATAGTTAGCCTCAGCCTGGTAGGGTGTTTAATAACCGGGGCTGTAGTCCACCTGGTGGTCCAATAACAAAGATTACCAAATCTCCGATTCAATTAGAATGTTCATGTCATTTGAGATTTTAAATTTGATTGGAGCGTTGAACTCTTTCCAGATTTCCATATGCTTTTAGATATCCAGATTTTTATATCGTGTTGGATTGAAGTTTGGAATGTCCGAAAGGTTCTAATTACAAAATTAGAATTGTTGGGGAGATTTGAAAGGTATGCTGAATATTGTATGGTATGCTGTGCCTAAATAAGGCCTGCAATTTGACGGAGTGAGACCAAGTTTGATCAATTTCTCAAAGCGACCATAATAAATATTGTTACCTAGCTGTTAAATCGCTGTCACCATATTCTGACCGTCGACGAGATCCTGGCATCATCTTACAATCTCCGTGTTGGAAGTTGAAATGCATATAAAGCTCATCACTTGTGACCACTGAGTCTGATATGAAAACGATTTTTTGAACTCTATCAAAGACGTCAATCATATTGTGCAAGTAGACTACAGCCATCAATCTCGTAATCTCCGACTTTTTAACTTGAAGACGACCAACTAGAAATGGCATATTGCAAAATCAAGATCACCGGGAATGTCTACTATCAGTTTGATGAAGAGAAGCAAGTATACAGCCTCATATTTCCTCCGGGACTCAACGGTATCCGGCATAATGTTTGGTTCTGTACATCCAGCGGTATAGATTTCCAAAAATTGTCTCGGAGAAAACTCAACTTCACAGAGAAAGATCTCCTTGGTTTCGTTGGCCCTGACATAATGCTTGAATATATCACAACGACCATGAACTGTTACAGAACAAAGTGGGACCTAGAAACTGTGCGAATATCTCAACCCTAAGAATACTCAGCTAATCATGATTAGTGGAAAAATGGGATGCATAATGTCATACAACTATTGAGGGCTGACACGGAAATAAATTTTAGGGAAGACGTAAAATACGAAGATGAAGAACACAAGATAGTCAAATGGGAGGAGCACAAATATAGCGCAAAGGTGTACGAAATTTTGAAAAAGCTCGCTCCCGAATGGGACAATACTAGGCCACTATATGTCCCAAAGATTAGGGCAGCTAGTCCTGGACTTAGCAATGAGAATCCCAAAGAAGGAGCCACTGTTGTAGAAATACCTTCTACTTATCACGACTGCCCTCCTTTGGAAGAAACTTCATCATCCAAAAAAGCCACAGGCTCTCAACAAAAGAAAGATAGGAAGCCAAAAACACCATCTAAATCACGACCTTTCCCCCCCAAAACAGAGTTAGCACATCGACATAGAGACGGAAATCCCAGCAGTAAATCCGATAACATCAAAGATGTGAAATCTAGTGTCCCTTCATCTTCAACTAGAAAGCCACCGGCTGCTCAGCCCAAGCCCATTCTATCTTCAACTAGGGAGCCACCGCAAACACGTGGCGGATCTGGTAACTCCGCTAACTCTGCTTCGAATCCTCAGAAGACTGAAAACGGAAGGTCCCATCGAACTCCACATCACGGAAAACATAGCCATTCTGGTGAAACTGCTAGAAAAGCGGGAGCTAGGACTTCAAAGACCGAAAAGGGATAAAAGTAGAAAAATATAGACTATATGAGTAGGTCAATGGGAAGTTGGACTTATGAAGGTAGAAGGTACAAATACTTGAGCGTCACGAGTGGTTACCAGGTGACGGGGACGGTGACCCAACTAATATACGCAGTTGGCGCCGCTATAACCCCCTGTTTTGCCAGAATTACTCTCGGGCAACCTTCACGACTCAAAGTGTATCAACGGTTTCCCCGCTTATGTCTTCCCTGGCGCAAACGCTATGGCAGCACTGACAAACGCACCCATCGCGGGCCGCAAGCGTTTTAATTACTTCCCGGGCACATTCGCTACGGATGGAGTTGTATACTCGGATATCGTGGTTTTCGGACACGCAGCCATTTCCCCTGATCACAAGCTCTATATGATTAAGATGGGCCGTACGGAGCAAGACGTCGTTAGGCTACGCGGTGATGATAGTTTTGATTACCCAGACAAGATGCTCGTTCGTAACAACGCCAAAACTCCAACAGTTCAAAAGGCACTATTGGCGCGTACATTCCTACCAACATTCAGCATTGAGGAGGCAACGTGGGACAATCTATAGGTTTCAGCGGGAAACCCAACACCTTAACCACCATTGGAGCACAGCCAGAGGAGAAACCACTTAACACGCCCTCTAAAATCACACCAGACAATCCAGTCAATGCTGGGTCGTCCAAGACGGCAGCTAACCAGAAACTATTCTCATTTCCTCCAAATGAAGATAAGGATCCAAAACAGCTGAGTCCCTGGAAAAAGATTTACAACAACAGTATTCGTAACAGCCCCAAGGCAGTCATCCCCACCGAGGAAGTAAAAGTGGACTAGGGTACCACCAAATCCAAGAAGATGTCAGAGTTGATCACAACTACCACGGACGTCATCCATCTCAACTCAACCACTACCCGGAGGATGTCCTGCAACTTGTTGGTGCTATCACGGACGCAGGTGTCGTAGTCTAGAGAATTATTGACGATATTGGCGACGCTGAGGGAGGCGACGCGTTTGTTGCGGATTTACAATCGGTGTTGAATATATTCGGCCGTAAAGACCGTAACAACTAAGAACCAATGTTAGAGGCAGCATCTAAGTATCAAGAAGTTTCGAAGGCCTGGATCGAGAGCATGCAGTATACATTTAAAGATAGCTCCTCTATGGTTGCAACACTGTCTGGTAAGGATACCTGCTTCAAAATGTCTCATGATCTAGGCAGACTTGCAAAAGACTACAAACTTCACAGTTGTGCGTGCAAAGCCCACATGGAATCCTACGAATTTGACAACACAGATACCGCCGACGAAAAATCAGCATTTGATTGACTGTATTGCCAATGCACCAGTGATTTACTGCTTGCTCCGAACTTCTCTCAAAGCGGGACAGAGTTAACGCGACAATTACAATCGACAACACTCTATCAAAACAGAAGCTTTCATTTCCAGCAAGGGAACCACAATGCTACGATAAGCCATTGACGACACAATGCCAACACCTCAATAGCTAGACCGTAAGTGGTTGTCGCTTCTTGCCCTCTTATTTCAAGTACTTTCTCAGGAACAACTGAGTCATTCGTGACAACGAAGCGACGCAATCGCGACGCGGCTCCGCAGATTATGCCAACAATTCCATCTTCCAGTTCTCTTTTTTCGCACCTTCACTTTCGTTATATTGCAAGATCTCCGAACGCAAACCAGACATCACCACCAGACCGCGACTGCAAAGGTTTGCTTCCGGACTTGTATACGCTTTTCTGCTTTTTGTTTACGATGTACATTAGTCAATTATGCCATCCATGGTATCTGTCGGGACATCGATCATGTGATCAAAGAGGGCACTGTATTAGCTAGCGTCGCGCTAGCGCTACCCTATATAAAGTACTAGCTTCCCATAGATAATAATAATCAAAAACGAATACAACCATAATAGACTAAAGTACTTTACACTTATATCAACCAAGTTGATATCAATACTAATTAGTAATATTACAAATTAGGACCTTGGATTCTATTATAAAGTATTAAATATTTTGAAATAGTTTTTAGAATTAATATAAATTCTAAAGAAATTATAAAGAAGATATTATTGTATCTAATATAATACACTATCTCTTTTTATTATACTAAAAAATGTGTTCTGAATAATTACATTAGGAAGATATATTCAAAAAGATTGATCTTATTAATTATAATAAATCAAGCTTATATTTATTATATATTCATCTCTATACTATATATTATATAAGGTAATCCACAAAATCTTTATTTAAATATCTTTATAAATATTCTCTCATAAACACTTATATCTATAATCTTCAAAATATCTATAAATCTCGAAATATTCTTATATATTATTATATCAAATAGCAATAACACTATTAATCTAATTGCCCCTAAGATTATTAATAAGGATCTATATATAAAGGAAGAAGAAAAGTATTATAAGGAGTGATTAAGCCTATTAAAGGAATAATAGGCTAATAATGGAATTATTGATTTTGATGCTAAAGAGTTTATCAAATATATTAAATTCAAGCGCAAATAATACAATTATAAATATATTAATAATAACAAGCTTACTAAGGTCTTTTATAATAACTTCAATATATTCATAATTATATAATTTGCGAAGATCCACCAGATGAATATACGAAAGCTATATATGATATTATATATTCGAGAAGTATTAATATCAAAAATAGGTGTTAAAGTATTTAAAGCTTTATATAATCAATCTTATAGGTTTATTATAGATATATAAATGAAAGAACAAGTTTAGAAAGTTTTGAAAGATTATAATATTAAAGAGTCTAAATTTAAATTCGGGATATTTAACAAATTTATTAAAAATAACTTCAAATATAAAAAGAACAATTAAAAGGATAAGAAGGGTAATAAAGGAGGAGATTCTAATAATAATAATAGTAATAATAATAATAATAAGAAGAATAATAGGGGACAATATAATAAAAATAAGAAATTATCAATATATTCCAATTTGTAATCTTTTATTAATTTATTCAAATTCTATATTAGCAAGGAGAAATATAGTGGGGATAATAACAATTTCAACTTCAAACTCTTAATATTTTATGAAATTATATAATATGTAAAGATACTAATGGATATATAATACAAGATATTTCCTATTATATTTAAAGATAGTGTATTTGAGTTTTTTTATATCAATTATAAGTCGCTACTATTTATTTTTAAAGAATTATATATTTATATACAAAATAATTTTAAAGGAAATAAATATTAATGTAATATACTATCTAAATAGAATAATATTACTTTCAAATCAATTAAAAAGAAGAATAAAAACAAACCATTTAGTAAATATCTTACCATTATAATCAAATAACTATATATATTATAATATCAACTTAATCCCATTATATAGCAAATATTTTATTTATATAATAAGTTTATACTTATATATAAGGATATGGAGATATACAATCTAGCTTGTTTTAATTCTAAGAAAGAAATATTTGATTTAATTAATTAATTATAATAATTCATTAATACATAGAAGAGATTACATAAGAATAAAAAAGATATAGTATTATTTATTAATAAAAGATTTCATAATAATAATAATAATAATCAGAATAGTTCTAGGGATTTTAGGAATAGTAATTTTAGAAATAATAATTTTAGAAACAATTTCTATAATAAGTTATAATATTCTAATTCCTCAAATCAATATAATTAATATTGGATATATAAGAAAAAAAGATATTAATTTATAAAGCATTCTAAAAAGAAATAAGATAAATAAAGATATAAATATAGAAAGAAAATCAAAAGTAATAGTAATAATATATTTAATAAATACTATAACTAATAAATAATCGAATATAAGGAAAAAACTATTGATGTAAAATCTAATTCAAAAATCGAAATAAATCTATTTTTTGTAGATTTTAACATTAAAGATAATACAAATAAAGTATTTTTTATAAGCTTCAAGTCTATCAACAATCAAAAAGTGTTCAATTAATTATTAATTAATACAATATTGTATATAATAACTAAAGATTTAATTAAAGTTACTTTACTAATAGAAAGTGTAGTAAATATTTTTTATATAAATTATATAAGTAAAGAATTCTATAGTATATATATTAATATAATATATATAGGAAAGTCTATTATTGGGATTGGATAATATTATATATAAAAGCAAATTTGCTTAATTACATATAATTCACAAATAATAAATATTATGAATATATATTTTGAAAAGAGAATTATAATATTGATAGAATTATTCTATATTAATATATTATTTGAAGATATCGACTTCCATATTGTAAATACTGACATTCCATTTTTATTGAGTCTTAAGAATATGAATCATTTTAAAGCGTTTTATAATAATATCACTGATTAGTTTATTATATTAAATAATCAATACTCTATTATTAGAAAATATGGCCATACATTTTTAATATGAAAAGTGGATATAAATCAATTCATTCAAAAATCAATCTGCTAGAATAATTGTTATTTAATTACTATTGAATTATAATATTTATATCAATAATTCGACCATTTATTAGTATAATGCTTTTATTAAATATTATAATGGATAGATTATAACAAGAATAATAACACCATTAAACATTTCATTAAATATTACAAATACTATTAAATATATAGCAAATTATCTAAATGTTTCAGATTTATTTTATTAAAGAATATTGAATTTAACTATACTATATACATCAATATTATATATATTATAGGTAAATCAGTTCTGTATATTATTGGTAAAGTGATATACTATTAAGCAGTTTGATTCCTTAATAATATATTCACTAAGTATACATTTAACACCTTTAGAAAATACTGGATTAATATATATATTAGATTACTAGATTATATTATTTATAATATAGGAAAAAATTTTATGAGTAAAGAGTTTGTTCAAAATATTAAATCTATATTAATTATTATCAAAAGTATATTAATTGAAATATATAATTCTATAGGCATTATGGAGAAATATTATTATTTTCTATATCATATATATAAGATTTTAATTAAGGAACTTAAGGATAACAATTTGATTAAAATGATAATTCTATAAATAACAATAAAGACTGTAAATGACATAGTAGAACCAAATAAGCTTATTTCTATATTATTAGTTTATAGAATATATTCTAGATTGAATAATATTAATTTATTAATTATAATAATTATTCAATATATAAAAATTATAAAGAAAGCTATAATAAAAGTATATCATATTTGCATTAAAAAATAGATTATAAAAGCATTAAGATTAAAAAATAGATTATCTATAATATCAATCTTTATTCTACCTTTGAACTTAGAGGTTTTGATATGGAGAAAGAGCAAAAAAGATAATATATCAAATAAATAAATTAAATCACATTCTTTGATTAAAATAGATAGGGAGATATATAAGATAGAACTCTTCAATAAACTAATTAAATTCCGTTTTATATTTATATAATCCTTTTATATAAAATCAAAAGAAATTAAACAAAATAATAGAAATACAAATAATAATAATAATAATACTATAATAATTAATATATTATAAATGGAGGTATTATAATCCTAAATATTATTATTAATAATATAATCAGATATATAATTATATTGATATATAAGAAATAACTTAATTAATATAGTTAATATAATAAATATTAATATTAACCTATTATAATTAATTATATTTTTATAAGAAAATATATTTATAAAATATACAGAATCCCAATATAAGAAAGTTAATGAATTAATAAAAAATGAAATCTTTAAAATTATTTCAAAAGTTAATATACTATTCAGAATAAAATTATTCAAATTATAATTTATTAATGAAATAAAGAATAAAGGTATTAATAAAGTATATGCTAAATTATAACTAATAATTCAAATATATTAAGATAAAAATAAAACTATTATTTTGATATAATTACTAATTATTTAATATATTAGCCAATATATTATTCTTATACTTATTGTTATTTTACAAGTATTAAACAAGTATATTTAAGTTTATTTATAGGATATCATATAGGTATATATCTAATCAATTATAATATTAAATAGACCGATTTATATAAAAGTATTAAAAAAGATTAGATTTGAAAATGAGTATATTCTATATATTATTAAATCCCTATATAATATTCTTAAAACAAAAAATCATTAATTTGAAATCTATTATAATTATTATAGAAATAAACTAAATATAATATAATCTATATATAATCCTTATTTACTCTATTCCAATAATAATATTAGTATTATAAAACTCTAAATAGATAATATTCTTATAATTGCTAATAAAAGATTTATATACTTAGAATAAAAGTAATTAGATAAGGTTTATTTTATAGTTAAAAATAGAGAGTAATTTATTAAGAATTATTCACTTAAGTTTAATAATGATTTAATTATTCTTAAAGATAATAAAATCTATTTGAATTAGAAGAAACAATATAATAATATTAGAATGATTATATTAGAAAATATTAATATATATAATATAAAAGAAAAAGTTTGAAAAAATATTATTTCAAAAAATCAATATATTATTTAATATGTAAAAGAAGTATATATTATAATTATATATTAACTAAAGATATTATATTATTTTTTTGTTACTATCTAGGTAATAGATTCAAAAAAGGAAAATATGGTTAAATTCAATAAGATTATTAAATAACAAATGGATAATCTAATAAAAGGATTTATATTTATATTTTTAAATATGGATTTTATTCAATTAATTATATTTATAGATATATTTTTCGCTAATAATATTAATTTATTATTATAAATTAACTATATTATCTATTTAATAAATAAATACAATAATATTAATATTATTTACTAAACATTAATCAAATACAAAAGAATTACTAGGAGTATACTAGCTTTTGAACTATATACATTAATTCTAAACTTTGATATTAAAATAGCTATTAAAGATATAATTAATATTATTCTCAAATCTAAAAAGCCAATACTATTTATACTCTGTATAAACTCAAAGTTATTATATAACCTATTAACTAAATTCAGTATAAATATAGAAAAGTGGCTTTTAATCAACATTATAATTTTAAGATAATATTATAAGAATAGAGAAATTATAGAGATTAAATAAATTAATAAAAAATCAAACTCTGTGGATATTATAATTAAAAATAGTGTATGTTAAGTATTAAAAGATTTAATTAATATTAATAAAATAGTTATTAAGAAAATATATTAAATAAAAAGAGAATAAAAAGCTAAGAAGAGCTAAAAGAATATTATATCTAAAGGAATGAATTATAAATTAAAGTATATGATTATATTCTTTTTTAAAGAATTGCTAATATTGGGATATCGATTATATAATCAAAGAGGACATTATATTAACTAGTATTGCATTAACGCTACTCTATATAAAATACTAGTTTTCTATAGATAATAATGATCAAAAATGAATATAATCATAATAGACTAAAGTATTTTACACTTATATCAACCAAGTTGATACCAACAGTATCTAAGATCAAAACAATGTTGGCCCCGCCTCAACCGGCGGAGGGGGAGTCACTCAAATGGGCTTTCTAGCTCCTTTACAGACGAGTTTCTTTCTGCGGCACCAAGTTAAGTCCATAGCTTAGCACATCTCCATACCATTCGGGAGGTTCACAGGGTCGGCCTTACGCCGGCTCGCTGGACGTTAATAAATACTACTACTACTACTACTACTACTACTACTACTACTAAGATCAAAACGATATCTGTTTGAATAGTATCGTCATTAAGGGTTTAGTTTTCGATATTGAATGACATCAAGAGTGCCTTAGTTGTGGAGGCAACGAGTGAGCCACTGGTTCTTCGAGGGGGGGCAGATGTGGCATATAGGCTACAGGCAATCAACATTGCACACATGTATTCAACATTGGCGACAAATCCTACCATAAATAGCATAGCTTCTAGAGAGAGAATATCATAACTTTAACAACCATTAAATATGTGCTCATCAGTAGTTCTGTATGCCACTTCAAAAATGTTATCCAGAAGCGAAACTTTCCGAGAAAAAGACTTTTGATTCATATCCTATCCTTCGTCTAAAGAACTTTTTCGAGTTACCTCTATCTTTTATTCATCCGTTATTCATCCATCCCTCCAATCTCATACCTCCAGAGGCTAATACTAAAAGAACCAGCCAGCTTATGCCCATCAATCATACATCTATTACAACCAGCAAAAATAAATTCGGTGTATTATTGTAATATTGGACTTGACTTCCACCCTCTTAGCAAAATTAGATATATATGATCTACCAAGAATTCACCATGAGTGGAAAGTATAGAGTACGAGTGACAAAAAGATCAAAGGTCCGACGATCTAACTTCAGAGTGTCTCTTCTCGGCCAACTCATGCTCCATAGTAGCGGAGTTTCCATCGATACTTTCCATATCACCTCTATGCCAGAATTTTCGATGAGCTACTCTGATAAACCATGGCGCAGTACCACCACTAGGTTTGTATGTCCAGTACTCCGCATTGTCAGCATCTGGTGGAGCCAGTCTACCCATGGAGATCTTTTGTGTCAGGTACACGGATCCATTGAGAGCAGTATAAGTCATCAGACCAGCAATGAGTCCATATGCGACGGAATAGGTGTAAGGAATTGAAACGATAGTGACAAAAGCTGGAAGGGCATCGCCGATGTAAGACCAATTGACTGAAACTACTTGACGCATCATCATGCATCCCACCAAGATAAGAGTACAGCCAGTGGCCCATGGAGGTATTGATGCGAATATGGGAGCAAAAAAGATAGATATCAAAAAGCAGATACCGGTTGTGATGGCTGTTAGGCCTGTTCGACCACCCTCAGTTATACCAGCGCCAGACTCAATGAATGCGGTTACAGGTGAGCATCCGAATAAAGAGCCAATGGAGATTGTCATTGCGTCGGTGCAATAGGCTATCGTAGATCGAGGGAAATCTCCGGTTTTTGGATCAACTGCTCCTGAAAAGCGTGCCATGGAATACAATGTAGCTGTACAATCGATGATGTCAACATATAAGAACGTAAAAAGCGCCAGTGCAAAGTGAGAGCCTGCAGCTGTGATATCCCAGTCTTGTGCAGCAAGGGTATTGCGAATTGGGTGAAATGCAACAACTTGTTTAAAGAATTGGAAACGTGATTCACCATCAGGCGTATAAGGGAAATATGTGAAGGTTGTTCCACGCCTAATACACATGTAAGCTTGGCGAAAGATAATCTCGTGCGTAACACTTACGGCCATGAAAAGATAGACACAATTGCGATGCCAATTATTATCGCAGATTTAAATCTGAATGCCATTAGGTACGAAGTTAAAAACCCTCCAAAGATGATTCCGATCCACATCTATGATGGAAAATTAGTAAACATTTTTTGCAGTGAGAATAGGTTCAAAGAGAAATCTCACTGTAGGGTTGGTCATTTGATGACTAGTGCAGGCTCCTGTAACGTCGAGATATTGAGGAGAACACCCTCCCAAAGCGGTTGGGGTTACTGCAGAGCCAGTCATGGCACCGATTCCTGCGGAGTATGACATTCCAGTCTCAGTCAAGAACAGACCAATTCCGACACCACTTGCGACCTTTATCGAAGCAGGTATTACCTTGACAAGCCATTGCCGCATGCCAATCAGGGATAAGAAAACGAAAATAAATCCTTCCACAAACACGGCCGTGAGAGCCAAACGATATGGAACAGTGCCAGTTCCATGAAATCCAACAACTTGATAAGTAAAATATGCGTTGAGACCCATACCGGGGCTAAAAACATTAGTGCTCTATCGTAGGCAAATTCTGCAGAGGAACTCACGCCAAGGCGACAGGTAGATTGGTGAAGAAGCCAAATGCCAGAGACCCTATCCCTGCTACTGCAGCAGTGGCCGTGATCAAATCTCGATTGATATCTAGATATTATTAGCATACACAACAGACTTTCCGAATGGACATATCTACTGACCAAGAACACAAGCGGCGTAGGTAGAATCCGTTGCGCATGACAGATCTTCAGTATCATGACAGACACAAGTACCACCACTCTGTGATAATACTGTTGACTTCAGAGCAATGTTAGCTAAAGCCTATCCTCAGATGATTTCCATAAGCATACATTGACAGCGATGATATATGCCATTGTGAAAAAGGTGGTTACCCCGGCTCGGACTTCCGTGATAAATTTTGCATTTTTCTTTTGTTGTTCCTGGTAGAGCTTAGCATTAAACAACTTTCATTTTGAAATTTGAAGGCATACATGGCCACATCCATCAAGACGAAAAACCCTGCCAAATGTTGACTTGGAAGCTCTCGTATTAAGATTATTGATATACTCTTTGATAGATAGCATGATTCGTAGACAACGATGCTGTTCTTTGCCAAGTTTGAAGCACACGATTAGAACGTGGGAAATTCCTAGAAGTTATACAGTAACGGTAAAAAGCTTGAGTGTTTTTCGGAACAAATTTTTGATATGACAGCGGAAGCATCTGGACAGAAGAAGGAACTTTTCGACAGTCAAAGATAATGGATCGGAATGTAAACTTCAACTTGCAGGTCAATTAAATTTGCCAGCCCCCCATGATCAAAACAATGACGACTTTGTGAGTTGAATCTTCCTTGTATAAAATAGTCCTTGACCCTTTGAAACTGGGGATCAAGAGGGGTATCACTGTAGACTACCGCGTAGGACTGCATAATTCGGCAAGGGATATAATGGGAACACAATGATAGGCTGAGTCTGGTTCGCAAACTAATCAACGGATAATAGCATTTGATCAATAATGGTTGGGGAACGCCTCTTTGTGATAGATCGGAATACCTTGTGAATCAACGTTTCCGGGAACCATATTATACTTTCCGTTTAATTCTCTTGGCATAAATCTCAGCAGCTCGATGAGGTTCATAAGCATTGGATATTCCCATGAGAAATATTGAAATAATGAATGCAGGTACCACCACTTCTTTATATCTAATCAAGGGCTCTCGTGAGCCTGCGGCTTCGGTTGTGAAACGTCATCCCCAATGATCATCCTGTGATACCTCTGTATGGCTTGCAGGACACAGCTTTTGGGCCTGGTCCCGACCGTAGCTGCATGAGATTTGAAGAAAGTGGCGAACACTGCAGGGGGTAAACAGATAAAAGACGACATAATTCGGGAGGCTGCATGTTATACAATAATCACCTGAAAATCATGACCACAGAGCAGACATTGAGCTACGAGGTGGATCAGATGAAAACCCGTATTGGACTTTATTGATTAATTCGGACGAAATGGAAGAATGGAAGAAGAGCGTTGGACCTTCCCAGAATATTCATTAATTAAAAGTTTGATTGCGAATACCGGTTTTGTGTTGTGATAAGAGCAATAAAATAGTTGATGTCGTGTTTGATAAGTTTGTTACTGATCACAATCGCCAAATATGATCGCGGCTCTTTCCGGATTAGACCTTTTTAGGTTAAAGGCAAGGTACCTCCTCCCTTTATACTATCGCTTCCCCATTCTATTCTTTGCACCCAAATTACAGCCATCCTTTATTGAATTGTCCGACCATGTACAACGTGTCCTTTGATATTAGATTTCTTCAGATTTCTCTTGCTTACTAAATGCTGTGCTCTCCCAAAAACTGTTCCATCACCCACCTTTCAAAGCCACTAGCCGAATTGACGACCTGAATTTACTCGGCGCACGGGATGGTGCAGTTGGGTGATGAGATATCCTGCAAGAAGTATGTGAGAGACTCCAAGAGGAGTGGCACTAGTCTTTATCCCGCGAGTTGCCACCATGCGAGTGAAAAACCTCCTCGCATGAGCGATAAGATTTTTAACCTCCTGAAACAAACATTTTTGTAGGACTACCGGAAAACCATATATCACAATGAATTTTTGTGAATCATTTCCACGTATACTTACTAATGTTACTTTCCTCTTGATCGTATCGTTGGATTTCAAGGGTGCTTTCCCTCCTTCTATTGGCAGATTCAACCTGCTACAGACCATCCTTTCCAAATTATGTTCGACGTTTCGTGGACCGATCCCACACGGGAGACCGTTGGCCAGAGGAAACATCGTAAAGATCAAACGTCCCCTAGGGGATCATCACCGTCAATAAGAAGTTCGAAATCCAGTGATTCTTCCAAGTCAATCAAGCACTCCATCTTTGGGTTCTTTGGAAGCGGCAACAAGAAGATATCTTCTCCAGTAGCTGTAGCATCTACAAAGTTACCAGCCATCAAGACCGAACAGTCTTCGAAAGTTTCTCGTCGAATGTCAAGCTATACTAGCACTTCAGAGACATCAACATCAACACAAGAGGTACGTGAAACGACTACGACAACCATTACACGTATTCCAGTAAATGGATTCTTTTCAACAGTTCCATCTTACCAAGAATCCGAGAGAAGTCCTTCGGACGGTGAGTTCCACTTCACTGATATCGACCTCGAACTGATTATGTCTAGAGTCCATTTTCTCTGGTTATACTGGAAGATCCGCCGGAACTAAGTCCTCATGGGGCTCCATAGTAGATGGACAAAGCAAGAATCATTTTATACAGCCTCTGAGCCCAAATTCTTTTGTCACTCAAAGCACTGAGATCACTGTCGCCCCAAGTGAGGATTTCAGTGCATCAGAACAACTAGCTACTGTCGTTCATATCACTTCTGGCACAGTTCCTATCCAAATTCAGGATTCCACAATGAGAGAGTAAGAATCTGTGTCCTGAACAGACCAAGCCTTTGCTGACGTATTAGATCTGCTTTATCATCAACTCCCTCAACATATGACTTCCCACTTCCACCTACACACAGTCCCGAGACCCCAAAGATACCAAGCTCTCCCAGGGCACTAAAATCTAGAAATGATACCGGTGCTAGAACTACCGAGTGGTCAATTACAGCAAGAAACAGGCGTTCTGATTCATGGAGACCTCCTGAAACGTGGGCATGTCCGGCGGAAGAAGCGGCTTCATCAGTAGCCTCGTTGAAGTCTTCGGGGTCTCGTCGGAGGAGAAAACCTCGTGGTCGTAATCGCTCACCTTCTAACTCGGAGCAGACACATTTGCAAATGAATATTTGTAAGATGGAAGCAGCAAGCAACAAGATTATTCTAGAAAGATTGAATGAAGAATGGATGGAAGTAGCCGACGCATCGGTATATCGAGAGCTCGAGCTTGAGAAACAACTTTGGATGCTTACTGCTTTGCGAGCTATCAATCGCGTTGCTAGAACCCGTGATGCTTCCAGGGCGCTCAATGGAGCACCACAATATGGGAAAATACTTTCGTTGTATGAAAATCATGGTGAGCAATCTTTCCATCATCCCCATTTACACGCTCACAGAAAAAGCTTCTGCATCCTTTCTTTCAGCTTTGAATCCGGAAAAACAAATGTATCATGTCTCCACAAACCCTTTATCGCCAAAATCATATCCAAATGTTCATCCTCTAGCCGTTCCAGGACCAACTTCACAATTATCTTACGCCTCGAATATCTTCGGTGCGATTCATGCTATAGGTCTGCCATCTCTACTCCCTTCATCTTCTATTCCCAATATACTCAAAGAATGTCATCGTACACTCACCTCTTCCCGTACGCCAACTTCAGAAATTCCAGCATCGCCCACCGCGATCAGTCTACTTGGGATCACTCAGCCTGGTATCCTGTATCTCACCATCCTTGATCCTTGTCCAGTTCCCTCATCACTTGGCCCGCAACTGAGATCTTGGCTTGATACCCATTTAACAGTAAACTTGGAGAAGCAATTTCGGTGTTTGAACCCAACTCGTTTATTTCCTTTATGGTTGGCAGATGCAGGACTTTGGGCCGATGGGAGCTGCACATCATCTTTGAAATTTCTAGCATGTGTAGGAATCGTAAATGGGGAAAAACAAGTAGAGTGGCAGTTGAAAAGTGTGGTGGGAAGAATGCTGTGGAAAGACATGTGGGGAACCTATGTTGAGGGTGGGAAATGGTGGTGGGATGACGCGGCAATCGTGGAAGAATGTGAGAGAATGGGAACCTGCTGGGCTGGAAGTATTATTGAAGCTGTAAAGGAAGGGTAGATCGGAGGAACTTCTCATGCCTTGAGTGTTTCCTTGAGACCTATGGTTATGGCTTTCTGTTTCTCCATGTTTACGGAAAAGGGCGTTTGGCTGCGATGCGTATACCTTCTTCGTTTCTGGACAGTCTCCTTTCGTTGTCCCTTGTTTCTGGATAATGAACTTATTCCGTGTAACAGCCGATGTCAACGGTCGATGTTCAAATTTTCAGAATATATATTGATTTGTACACCATGAGATGCGAATCCAAACACACAAGATTATGCTCTCAGACCGTTAGTTACACCCACCTGTATGCTCCCGTGGATGCTGCCGCATATCTGCAGCCATCCCGCAATCCCGGCCCCCACCTTCCCATCACATCTCTTTACAGCCCGTTAGTTCCATTACGGTTCCATTACATGCTCAGCTCATTTCCCCTGTCCTGCTTGCTCGCTTTGCTTACTCGGCTATGAATCACACGATGCAAACTCCTTCCTAAATAGTTTCCTAAATCCACTTATCACTGACTTTCATGGGGGTCAACAATTCTTTGTTGCATATCGTAAATCCTCGGTCGAGTCAGTCGTTTTATAGGAATGGGATGAAAGGTCCGGTTTTTTCGTTTGGAGTGGGTCTATATTGAATGTTTTGATTGGAGACTGATAATTCGAGTAAGGACTATGGGGCCGTGGATATAATTTTGAGTCAGGAGCGGGGAGATGTCAGATTTGAGTTCTGAGCATTTCGGGCGATGATAGCCATTGAATGTGTGGTCAAGAACATCGCTGAATGATGGAATTTTTGCTGGGTTGGTGATTTGGAATAACAATAGATTAGTGAATGATGGAAGATCAATTGACAAATTTGCGTAATGTGTTGTACAATCGTGTCGCGGTTTAATCCACAAGCCCACCCAAAAGAATCTTATTCACCTCAGCGTCAGCAAGTATCCGAGATCATTTCAGGGGTATGGTTCACGTCTTCTAACCAATCGTCTTTTTATTCTCATGAGGGAGACATCTTGATTCGATCCCCTCCCAACTTTCAGAAGCTCCAAAAAAATTGTCTGAAACAGCAACTTCATCCATTCCGGATAATCAGATATGCAACAAATAATTCTCTCTTCCTTTATGGTTGCATGATGTTGAGTTTTGTGGAATTTATATGATGATGATGTTATAAAAGACTCGTATGAGGAGTGGGGTGACACCATTCACCATGATAAAATCTGGATATGAGACCACCTTATAAATTTGTCCGACTTTAGGTCTAGGAGATACATTCGCATAATCGCTATAATTCAGACCGAAAGCTTTGGTAGCTGGGTATTTTAGTTCAGCCTTATTGCGGATACATCTGAGCGTTCCAGGGTAAACAAATGTTTTTCGCTCATACGCGTCAACACACTGTGCTGTTTTGGACACAAGTGAAGAATGGAGAAATCGTATAATAGGGCAGCGGATAAGAGCAAATTTGAGATGTGCAACATTGAGGTTCGAGGAGACCGAGAGCAAGGCTCATTGGTTCTTCCCCTGGTGCAGATGGATCGCGCTGGATATATACGTGGAGCGAGCGGACTTAGGCGCAAAGAGATATGCAACAAAAATTTTGATGTCGACTTCAAGCGATAGTGCTAGTTATGCATTCTTGGAACGCTGTCTAGTGGCCGTACAGCAGAACCTTGACGCGCATAATACTCGAATGGATTACAATTGTCATGCCGGGAAGAATCAAACGCTGCACGCGCCATAGTCGCAAGATTACTCTTTGGCACCAAAGCTAGTTGCTACGTTGCAAGATAGAGGGTTCCAAATTATACATTCCTTTCTACTTACTCAGGAGCAACAACATACTAGGTGATACCTGATCAAGTTATGGTTAAACTTCGGTGACACTTCGGTACTAGATGCGAGTGTTCCCGACTTGATCATGTGAGCTGGATCCCGTCAAGACGTGACTAGCGATGTTGAATTGATGAACGCACTTCAGTCTTATAACCTTCCATTCTCTTGGGCGCTTGAAAGATGAATACTTTCGAGACTTTCGTATATTAGTCTACTTTGGAGATACATAATGCGCCTTCATACATATCGTCATACACTTGCTCTTTTTCACGAGGCCCGAAATACAAAGACACGTGGTAACATTACTGAAGGAGTGGTAGCTCGGTGTTTTGCTATTCCTAAGATGGGTAGCTGGGTTCTTTGCTTTCGGTCAAAGTCTCATTTTGTCCCAGAATTGCGATTTTTCACACCAGGAATACTAGTAAATATTACAAGCTTTCAACGGTAATTGAAGGCAACGTTAACTGATCATGTGGCTTGACACTGGTGAGGCTCCAGAACAAAGTGCTAGTCCGGATAGGTATATCATTTATGACTAGATAGGGTCTAGAGCCCTTGGAGATATGCTCCGCATAATGGTAGCCAGATTCATCATAATGAAATCCATTTTTCTGCTCCTTCATTTCCAGCTTTCTACGCTAACACTATTACCTCCAACCTTGTTGCAATCAGGGTCATTATACCCCGCAGTTTGCTACGGAAATTTTCCTCCAAAAGAATTAAATCTGTTACCTGGACTACTATTGAGGCAGATTATACCCCTAAAAGCATAAAATCCGGGTTTATTGTATAAAATATACCCGTTTAGCCTAGATCCTTCCTCTTCTATTTCCTCGGGGAATTGAGGTGTGAGTTATGGTGATAGAGAAGTTGAGTGCGGGGTCTAGCACGCAATGATAACTGAGGAGAATATCAAGTAACTCTTATTCAAAATAATCAAAACTTTTCACAGCGGATTTCCTGGCTGGTTCTATGATATTCTTGAGTATTGGCTGACGTATTGGGACATGGTCCTACTCTTTTACTGGGTTTCTAGTGAAAGGTGGCCGTCACCTTGATTGGGAAGAAAATCTGAGATTGAACCAAGCAGCAAATCTCTATGATTAAAAGACACTTCGATCAATACCTAGTGGATCTAGCTTGATACCATCCCACATCAAAACTGTCAAACTTTTTTGGCCTGCATTTAGTATACGCTATAAGTACTAGCTTGGAAATTTTCTTGTCTAGTATTCTCTTTACACCCCACAGTTACTCTCTTGAGGCCTGCTCAAGCAAAGCTTGATTTACTAGATTCAAACTTAAATTTAAATCGTACTTCATGAAATCCTAGCCTTGATTCCCCATCTTTTCCCAGTATATAAAGCCAAACAATCCCTCTCTACTTTCTTTTTTCATCACACCTCGAGAAAGTATCCAGGACATTCTAGAACCATAACAAATACTTCAAACCTCTCACAATTCAATCATCCATTGATACAGATCAAAATGCCTAAGAAAAGCAATCAACGCCGGGCAAAGATTGAGGTGCCAAAATTCAACTACGAAGTCAAACCTAAGCCTCCAGCTCCAAAAAGCACCTTCGAATCAAAGCTATGCGAATCCGTCTTTTGCAATGATCTCTGTCGGGACATCGATCATGTGATCAAAGAGGGCACTGTATTAGCTAGCGTCGCGCTAGCTCTTCCCTATATTAAGTACTAGCTTCCCATAGATAATAATGATCAAGAACAATACAACCACAATAGAACTAAGTACTTACATTTATCAACCAAGTTGATACCAACAATCTCATTTTCGATCTGATCTGCTCTCATCTCGAAATCAGAGATCTTACCTCGCTCCGTTGTACTACTCGAAAGTTCAAAGACAGTTACGCAATGGTTCTGAGATCTCATTGGAGTATTCATAAACAACTCTCTCACTACGTCGTCGATACCGATCATTTCAGAGCACGAATGGGAATGCACAATGTCTTTATTACTGGTCAGTTCGCACTGCAATTCTTTGATCGCAATAAAACCGGTGTTCCATTCAAATTACTAGATGGAAGTGATGCAGCAATGGAAATGGTAGCTAGCTCTGGGAATCATGCAGAAGCTTTTGCAAACTAGTTCACTGAGAAAGAGCTCTATGTTTTTGATCCATTGGGCACTTGTATGTGTTGTAGGAAGAACGGAGGCTGTTCAACAGTATGTCTTCTTTTTCCAGCTCCTGAATATATTTACTGATTTTCAATTAGGTAAGACTTTATAAAAGAATTAAAACAGATGGCAGCATCAGACGCATCCAGGTATCATTTCTGGCAAACGAATGGTATCTTAACAAAGGCGGTGACAAAGATTCCATTGGCAATGGTCTATACACGGCAGGCACTCTCAAACATTCACCAAATACGGCCCAAATGAACTTCATCACATGGAATAAAGCTTATTGTCTGTTTCCAAACGCTTTATCTGAACACAGAATTGTCCCTTTCGAAAAGAACGACATCGATCGTGCCAAACCTAACTCTTCATCAGATTATGTCAAACGCGATTGGACTTTAGATACGACATGGAATGCCGAAATGAAACCACTTCCACGAATGCAAGCTGCTTTCAGAAGAATTGGAGATTCGCACACTTGGAAGATCGACTTGCCAAAACTCAAAGTAAATAGACGAGACAAAAAGTTACAGGACGGTCTTATAGAGTGTTCAAAATTTTGCATCGAAGTCCCTGGAAGATCGGCTCATCATCATCATCATCATCATCATCATCATCATCATCATGATGAGCGAACCTCTTTCGAAATACTAGCAACCTGTGACATTTCAAGAAATACAAATACATCTACTCTAGCGCTTGGAAAACCCCAGATTGTTACCACTGGACCCCACTTGGTTCTGACCTTATGGATTAGTTAGGCATGAGGATGTATTCAGAGACTGGATGGAAGCTCTTTAGGATCGATCATACACCACAGTCACATTTGAACCGAATTTTATTAATGTGGCTAAAAGGTTTTATCAAGAGGACAGACTCTCATTTCAATTTTATCGTTACCTCTCAGGCTTATATCGATGGAATAGAGCTATATTTATCAAGGGATACATGTTGAGTAAGCCAACAGCCAGACACCCCTCTTGGCCTTTCTCAAAAAGAAAACACAAATACACAAATACACAAAAACACAAAAAAAGTACAGCATTGATAATTAAGAACAGCAATTCGGTCAAGGTGCAGGTGGCAGGGAGGGGATGGCACAGCTTGAAAATGGGGAAGTACAAAAGAGCAGGTAAAGGGATATTGCCTCTCACGACCACTATCTAGGATGACTGGACCGAGATGATATCTTTGTGGTAGCATTCAAGAAAGCGGTGGAATTGTCGTCTTTCGGATAATAGCCTATACTCCATCATGTTCTTAGAACTTCAGATGAGATGTTATATGATGATGGTGTTCACACGTCTTTTCATTTTGCGATATATTCATTCTTTTGTACAAAGTAGATGGTTCCATAGCACTAGATAATAGAAAGATTGAACGAAATTTTCTGGAAGTATTCGATTTCCTGTATCTGCCCTGGGTATCAAAGATGTATCTCCTCATGATATTATTGTCTCGATACAATCCTCACTACAAAGAAAGTCTATATACACTTACAACAAGATCTCTCACAAAGAAACCTTCAATCACATTCATAATCACATTCACGATCTCAATAATCAAAAGTCCAAAAAGTTCCCGAAAAACAAAAATTTTCATTAATTAGATCCAAAAAAAAATCAAAAGTCCAAAAGCTCAAAAGCCCAAAGAAAAAAAAGAGAATCAGGTTCGCAATCCACCACACGATATGTCAGTAACCCAACAAGCTCTGCGATTTCTCGACTACATCCCATCTCTCGATCTCTTATATCTCCCTAGCACACATATTAGTAATTCTCAGTTTGGGTTTCGTATCGTACTTACCTCCAATACATTTTTTCTCTTGGATGAAAAAAGAAAGAAATGTGTTGGGTGATTTTCAAGCCTTCATGTGGGTGGAGGAGTGAAAGTTCAGTTTGATACTCCAAAAGACGGTCCGTGGAAATGGGTGCCTGGTCCTGATGTTGGGATTGCATGGTATGTGGTTTTTGAGGAGACTTTTGGAGATGGGGAGGGAAGGTTTGGGGGGAGGGGAAGGGAGAGGGGCTTTTATGGGGATAGGGGGATTTGTTCTTGTTTGGTGCGAATACAATAGGATGGATGTTTGAGGATTGTTCTTTGGTTTCTTTGTCGTCAAGGTTCTTTTTGGGTGGGTTCATTGGTGCTGTTGTTTTTGTTGTTAGGAGTTGAGATCAGAAAATCATTGAATCGTTCTTTGTGAGAAGATTTCTTTGTCCTTGGATCACAGTTTGTTTACGAGGCATAAAAAATGTTAATCTGTCAAACTATTCCACACCATTCGAGACCTATCATACCACCAATTCATCTAACTCTTGTGATCCAAGATATTGCACCTTGGCACTCATAGTTTGTCATGCCGTTTTGACATAGCATGATGAAGAATACGTCGTGAATCAAGCTCATTGACACGACATGATTTGGCAATATCCGCATATAGAGTTTGTACACAGAAAATACCAACATAGAGATTTATATTCAGAGATATATAACGAAAAAGATGGAATGACGCCATTTTTAAGGAGATGAATCTATGATAGTAGCATTTTTGAAAGAGGTAGCGACTGCCCAACAAAGAATTGTGATACAGAAACCCAGAATTTTGGCATATTTTAAGCACTCGCACCAGACAGTAAAAATAGACGACTTGAGTAATTTTGCATGTTTGCAATCGGGGAGATAGGTAATAAGTTGAGTGCAGATCTCAACTTGGTGCACGTTAACCAGTTCTTTTTTTGTAGAGGAGTAAGTAAGTTGCTTCAAATTCTTTCTCGAATCCCCGGACAATGAAGAGTGTGAGAACGAAGTTTGAGGAACTTTCTAGTATCTCGACAATGTCTTAGTTGAGCAGATCTCGAGGACTATAAAGATGCTACTTACCAGCAGTTCTTTCACATCTCCTATCACTGATCTCTAAACATTAATTCGTCATTCATCATTCACGACATCATGTCACCCCCTACTACCATAATACATGTATTGAGACACGCTCAAGTACGTACATTCCATGAACGCGTTAGAAATTGCCAACTAATTTCTGGCCTCTAGCACGACGATTCTACGGGACTGTTAACGGATGAAGGAGAGGAACAAGCACTCCGACTTGCTAGCCTATTCTTAAACGAACGATTCTTAATGGCGCAACATATTACCCATATCTTTTGTTCGCCGATGCCTCGATGCCAGCAAACTGCGAAAATAGCCCTCAGAGATGTGATTGCGCGTGGAATTCCGATTTTCACTGTGCAAGAGCTTTCTGACAATAGGGAAGTAGGTCTCTCCTTCCTTTGGAGACACATTAGTCTTCGTGAGAGAAATGAGATTATAATGATAACTCAGGGAGTTGTTCTGAAAACACTCCTCGGTCTCCACAACGTTGGTTAGTTCCCTTCCGCTACCTGTGAGATTAAAAGACTTTGGGTAAAACATGACTAATAGAGTATCGCTTAGTATATCAACCAGAAGAGTTCCCTAATGTTCTCATCAGGAGTTATCTTCTAATCCAAGAGCTTCACTATGTTCCTCGTCCACGATTGCGTAGGGAGAGAGGACCGGTAGATCAACCGCCTGACTACTCGACCGTACACTACCGCATGGCTGTGAAATGTGCCAAAATTTTGGTTAAATACGTACCGATCGTATGGTTCGGTATTAGTGTGATTGGCCTAACGATTTATTTCACAATGCCATCGTCTCAAAGATCCCACTAGTGTTCGTGCACTCGAATTTACACATTCAATCGATATCTAATCTTCCATGATGCAAACCCAATCATCAAACACTTGGACTTTCAAGATCTTCACTCAGTGGCGATGAAATGATATTTCAGAGCTGAAGCCTTGACAATAGACTTACAGTTTCATACATCTATTCTTGTTTTTCTCTGCCTGCTATTTTCTCATTGTACCAATAGAGTTTAGAAGCAACAGCCAATTCAAATTTTAGCAGAATCTCATAGTGACCGATTGAAATTTGATATGGTGAACTTGCAACCGTGAAACAAATATCTCGAGACTAAGACATGATTTGTATGTGCCGGTAGTGTTCGGGAGAATTCCAAGAAAATAAGCTTCAAGATCTCCAGTAGTAAATGGAAACTAACTTATCACCTGTTGCAAAGGAATTGTTGTTATCTTCTCACAATAATGACTTTCAGACTAGAAGTAATGGACGGGTTCGACTGGGCGAGTATAGATCGATGGAATGTTTGATAGTGAGTCGAATTGCAAAGAATATCATGCCGCCTTGTCACAATGTTCTCTAGAGCAAATACTTGGAACTGAGATTTCAGCTTCCTTCTATAAAGTAGTAAAGTACAAGAGAAAACACTCCCACGCTGCAGGATATCCTCACACAGTGACAGTATCATGAACATCTGTCGAGGTTATTATGTACACTCTCTAGAAGCGCGTGGCCATCACATATTCCCCAAGCATGAGACAAAACATGAGGTGTAATTCGGAATGGAATAATGATAAATGAGCAGTACCCAAGTGTGGTATATCTTCTACATAAAGTGATTTCACTCATGGATAGTACGCACGATTTGGTAGAATGATAGGGCAGAAATAAGTGAGGTCCGTGCGCTCTTTCAGCCACACCCTGTACTAAAATATCAGGGTACAGCCACACGTTGGCGCGAAATACTTGGTCGCATTTCTCATCTCAACGCGTTCCTGGCTTAAAAGGAACTCCATCAAATAACCTCAACTTCAATTACAATCCTGATCTCAAGAATCATCAACTCAATCAAGATACCGATTCGCCATTGTGTTTCTCATCGCCTCACCAATTTCCCAACTTAAACTACAACTACACCGCCAACATGACGGACTATTCCCAACTTAAGGTTCCTGAGCTTAAGAAGCTCCTTCAAGAGAAATCCTTGCCTATCTCTGGCAACAAGGCAGATTTGATCGCCAGGTTACAAGAATCCGAGAAAGCGCCAGCTGCTGAAGCTACAGGTACGTTCAATTGAAAAATGCGGTCTAGGAATTGAGAGCTGAAAATTCTTAGCAACAACGGGAGAAGATGAAATCGACTGGGACGAAGACGATGAAAAGAAATCAGCACCTGCAGAAGCTGCGATAGCTGCAGCTGGAGGGAAAGAAGAGATCCCCAACCCGACCAAAGTCCCAAATCAAGAACCTGCGATCGATCCTGCCAAAACCACAGATTTGAAGGTTACTGGAGGCGAAGGTGTTCCAACAGCTGAAGATGGTGCAATCGCAGCCTCGGGTCCTACCACAACTGAAGTCGCACCTGTATCAGAAGCACCCAAACAAGACTTCAGCGCCGGTATTGAGAAGTCTGATGCACAGAAAGAGGCAGAGAAACGTGCTGCAAGAGCCAAGAGATTTGGTATCACAGAGGACGATGAGGCTGCGAAGTTAGCAGAACGTGCGAAGAAATTTGGATTGGATAACAGTAAAATCGTTGAGGGATTGGATAGCGCATTACCGGAAAGAAGACCAAAGAGAGCTCGGGAAGATGGTAGACAAGGAGGGAGAAATTCAAAGAGACCAACACCAGACTCCAGGAGACCACAACAGGGCCCAAGAAATGCGCAGAAGTCTGGTCCAAAACCGCCTGCAGCAGGTCGTATCACCGATAACCCAGCTGAGAAGGCAAAGGCGGAAGCTAGAGCAAAGAGATTTGCAACTGCTGAATAAAGGGACCTACGAAGATGACATAGCTATCTATCGCAACTCCACGATTAGCTAGCGTTCCTGTATACTAGTGATTTTTTTAATTTTCCACGGAATTCAGCGGCTTTAATCATTTACAGAATACTATTGATACGAAACATTTACTCTCTTGTTTTGGATCCCGTGAGCGCTTCAATTTCCCAAAAGATACGTCAAAACAAGCTCTGTCCGTGCATTCAGATCAAGTGCCATTTCCACGGGGCCTTTTGCAATTGTATTTTATCTATTTCAATGGTTTTCAACGTTCAGGCGCAAGGTCCATCCAGGTTTCGGACAAATATATCATTTGAGCATGCAATGGTTGGGATTTAGAATGTTGGGAAGAATAAAAGGAACCAATAATCACTTATGATTTAAGCAAGAGATATAATAGGCACTTCGATAGTGCCAGGGGAAGGTCGATTGAAATCTTGACGTCCAACGATTATCCTTTGAGCTTCCCGAAGGATCTGCACTCTGCATTCGATGGAACCAAGTACCGCGAATGGAAATTCCCAAGTGACTTTTGTAGATGTGATAGGACTCACAGGAGTAGCAGATAAAATGGTAACTATCCGCATCTACACCCATAAAAAGACATGCACACCGATGCCCGGAAAAAAGGCCTCTTGGATCAACATTTTCATCATCCAATGACATGACAGAACCGACGATTTCTCAATTCTCGTACGCCATCGATGTTCCAGACGGAAAAGCGAAATGATAGAATGGAGAGGTGTAACTGGGTTTACAGCCATACATTTCCGCATCACGTTACTGTTTTGGACCCGACGTTAGGGAAAGCTGTACGTCTTCTCGTGGTCCAATGAGAGGGTCGAGAACCCTGCTCGATTGGTATATATCCATCATCCGTGGCTTGGAAATGGTTTGCAGTGCAGGTGCGGTCCTGGGGCCCGGAAAAAGGGTTTTCTGTGGGTGATCTTTTTATCACGTTTGATTCATTGATGGATTGATTGATGTGCTGGATTGAGATTCTCGTTCCCCCTCTCCTCTTTCTCTCTAAAAATAAAAATAAGTTTGAATTTGAATTTAAGTTTTTTTTTCTTTTTTCCTCTCCTTCGAAAAAATTTGATAAATTCGCCTGCCAACGCAGAGCAGAGTATAGAAACCTGTCTAGGTACCTAGAAAGAAAAAATCCATCAATGTCGTGTAGAAGGTTTAGACTACCTAGCCCTAGACCATGGTAAGAATTGTGTCCACGGGTTTCAATATGTGGCGTTTGTATGTTGAGGTCTCCATCGTATCCATCCATATCGTCGTAGCTCATGTACCTCGCCACAGTCCCGATGATTTTCTGCTAAGCGTCGTACGGAGCTGGAGTATGACAACGCAGCGTTTTTGCCTTTGGGTTGTGGGTTTGAGGGCTGCGTTTGATGGGGATTGTGGCTAGGTAAGTAGGTGGGTAGGTAAGTGGGTGGGTAGGTGGCTAGTTAGATTTCAGCTTGTCTGGGAAGGAAGGGATTATGGTTTCTGGATTGGAGTTGTGTATGTAGGTATGTAGGTATGTAGGTATGTATGTGAGATATGTGAGTGTGTATGTGTGTGTGTATGGGGTTCTCAGACCGGTAGGTGGAACGTGAGAGTAGGTATGGATGGATGCTCAGCCTCAACTGCCAACTGTTACTGTTACTTTGGGAGATAATTTGTGCACGTACGTATGTATGGATTGGATTCTTGGGATGGAATGGGATGGAATGGGATGAATGGGATGTTGGGAGTGCAGTTGTGCGGAATTGGAATGGGGATTGGAATTGGAATTGGAATTGGAAATGTGTATTGAGAGTGAGATTGCGATTGGGGATTAGTGTGTTTTTGGTTTGGTTTGTTGATCGTAATTATATTTGTTTGTACTAGGTAGGCTCTCTGGATGAAATAAACGGCACACCGAAAAAAGAGTATTATTTCCAAAATTATCTATTTAAATCCAAAATCAATATTTTTGATCTTGAATTGGAAAGGTCTATTCAGAATCTTATAAATTATAATATATCTTCAGTTTGTTTATTTTATTTTATTTTTCTGAATTGCTATTCAACTCTGAAATAATAATCTTTTTTCGGTGTGCCGTTTATTTCGTCCAGAGTGAGGTAGGTAGGAAAGGGAAGTAGAATTTGCGGTGTTAGGTATGGGTATGGGTATTGGTATTGGTATAGGTAGGTCTCCTTGTATTTATTTACCTAGTGTGTATGTATCGCGTGTGCCGATACGCTTAGATGGGAAATCATTGGGTTGATTGAACTGAACTGCCTGGTGACTTGATATTATTGTTTGTATGTTCAGACGGTGAGATTGCTGGATATTTTGATAGGCAAGTATGTAGATTTAATTACATTGCTGGGCTTAATTGCTAAATGGAATACGTTCTGTACTCTCTTCTCATTTGGATATGTTGTGGACAAGGGTTCACGAGCTAATATGTCATGTATAACTTAGCTAATTGATGATCAAATTATATTGTCGACTGTTGTTGACCACTCGAGTAGTGCGGAAATCGATCCTTCAGGATCAATATACTGATGAGAAGTTTGTATGGTTGAAGATACAGGGAGACGGGTAAAGATGTTCTGCGCTCATCCTACCAGAGAGAATAGCAATGTAGCAATGTAGCAATGTAGCATAGCATGATGATATTACTCCGACGCGGAATGGAAAGGAGAAAGGTTGATTCGAGCCGCT